CAATAGGAAACCATTTTTATTATGTATAATAGAAACAGTAGCGTACCCAAATCTTTTCAAACAAGTAAGAGTGTTATATTCGACTATGACGAATCTTATAAACCCACCATCAAACCGTATGCCGCAAATGGAATGCTCCCCTATAAACATTAAGTTGATGTTTTAAATAGGGTTTAAGTCAATTATGGACTCATCCCTTTCGGACAAAATATAAATTTTTAAAATTTTTTCCAACTTTAGGATCAATTATAGAGAGATTTTGGCTTGTAAGAAACTTACTTCTTCTGTATATCCAATTTCATAGCTATACTCGCATTTTTAAAACAGTAATGTGCGTTAAAGTCATTTCCTGAAGGGGGCCTTATATGAGGGGTACGGTCAATTATCGACCGATTCTTATAAAATTCGGTAGAAAGATTTGTGATCGTAAGAAACTTATTTATATCGCTATTTACGGCGCTATACTAGTATTTTCAAGCTAGTAGTGAGCGTTAAAGTAATTTTCTGAGGGGAACCTTATATGGGGGGTAGGGTAAATTATGGACCGATTCTCATAAAATTCGGTAGATATATTTTTGCTAAGAAACTTACTTATATCGAATTTCAGCTCTATACTCGTAATTAATTGGAGGGGACCATATTTGAGGGGTATGGTCAATTATGGACCCATCCTCATAAAATTTTTTAGGGAGAATTTAGTTCCTATAAATTTATGTCGAATTTCATCGCTATACTCGCATTCTTATAACAGTTATGACTGTTAAAGCTGTTTTTGGGGGGAACACTTGTATGGGCGCTATGCGAAAACGTGGACCGATATTGCCTATTATCAATACCAAACAAACCTTACCTATAAAAAAATATTTGTGGAAAATTTCAACTCTCTAGCTCTTTCCGTTCGGATTCTATCGTGCTTTCAACAGACATACGGACAGACATGGCTAGATCGTCTTAGAATTTAATAAGGACCCAGAATATATATACCTTTGTGGGTCTATGATCAATATTTCGATGTGTTATAAACGGAATGATGTTGGGTATAAAAATATTTAACATAATTCCAAATTAAAATTTAAGTAATGCACTGGATTTATTTTGGTCTAGGCCTAACAGACAGACGGATGAATATCAACAAAAAATCTTACTTCAGCGGAAAAGATTTTATACAAATGCAATTTCTTCACAATTTTTTAAATAACCCCTTAACATTACAACTCTGCCCCAAAAACATGTTCTATTTTCCACATTTCCTACTCTGCCTTTGACTAGAATGTAGAACTTTAAGGCATATAAAAGGTTTTGATGTTAATGTTAAGAATATCAACTGCAGTACTCTCTGGAAGTACTAACTACTAGCATTTTTAAAGAAGACAAGTATTCTATGCAATTCCATGTTGTACTTTAAAAAAAATCTTTTCCTACTTTTCTATTTTCTCTCACTCACCATTTACTACATCAAAATAAGAGGTACAAGTATTAAACATAAATTCTAAACAGAACTGCATAAAGTTGGTAACAGGATATTACAGGATATTATGGTCTTAAATAATTGAAAAGTGGATGTATACATGAATTTTGCAAAAGAAAATACGAAAAAAAATAAAACTACTATTTATGTATTTTCAAGAGAAAAATGTTAAGCCAATTTTGTGTTGTTAAAAATTTAGTAAAAAAAATTTTATTCGAATTAAATGTTATGTATAAAAAGAATTCCCAGTTCTTTTAATAAATTTAATTAAGTAGTAACTCATTTTTTGCAGCAATTATCCTTTGAGCCTGATTTGCAAGCACACTTGCACTGTTGATCACAGGCACACTTATCACCACATTTGTCTGAGGCACATTTGCAATCTATATAAAATGTTAAAGCATTTTATTACAATTTCCTAAATAATGAAATATTATTTTTTTTCACTTACTAGCACAACAATTTTTGCAGCCCATATTTTGCTTTTTTTTTCAATTATAAACTTAAAAATCTTTTAAGACAAATTTTTATTATTTCAAGTTATTTCAAACTAGCTTCCAGTTGAATTTATTATTGACCAGTTTTCCATTGTGGCAAATTTTATATACATCGGGACTCGCTTTTTTATGACTGTAGTGACGTGTGCAAATTTTTTAATAAATTTTTAAAGTTTCTTTGGACTTTTCGTTCAGCCGTGTGCACAGTCTAATGCTTTTGTGGGTACTAATTTCTTTTTAGCGCAATATTTTTTTTTACACAATACTTGTAGAATTTTTGCACACTGATTATTCTACTACGTTCTATAATATACTCGTCGCTAGCAGTGTGACATTCAATTGTTAATTTGTTGTGGTGCTGAGTCAATTGTATGACCGATATGTGTATACAAATTGTATTTATTATTTAATTCAGCTGTAGATAAGTTGTATTTAAACATTTCTTAATTTTGTGCCGGTGATAAGATAAAAATTGTAAACAAATTATGAATTTGTAAACATTTTGCGGTATGAATGAACGAACGGTTTTTGCAAATTGAAATTTTATCCAAAAATAGACACTTAATATGATATAAACATGATTCTGTAAATAAGAGTTTTTTTTTTTGTCTACAATCATAAAGTTTTCTTCTTTCTCTTGAATTTGAGATCTGATTTGACTAATAGTCGAATAGATCTTAAAAGAGCCTTAACATTTTTATATGACGAATTTCTTCAAATTTGCCCTATTAATAAGTATATTTCTCAAAAATTAGTTTTGACTTACTCTTCAAGAGAAAGAAAATAAATTCTTTCATTCTAGTAATTACAAGGATATATTTATCGGCTATGTCGATCCTTATATAAGTAACCACCATCAAAGCATGTTTAGCAAATTCAAAGTGAATTTAAAGTCAATAAGATCTTTTCTTAGAACAATTTTGGACCAAGTTCTTCCACTACACTTTTATCTAAATACTCTACATTTGGAACAAATTATTGATAATAAACTATTTCTGTAATTTTCAGAAGTGGACCTACCCCATGTAGGGTCAGTTATGGACTGGTCCTCATAAAATTTGTTAAGAGAGATTTTGGATCATGCAAAATTTGTTTTTGTTGAATTTAATCACAATAATGACAATTTTAAGCCAGTTTTAAGTGTGAAAGTCATTTTGTGAAGAGGACTAAGGAGGGACATTTATGGACCGAGTGTTCGAAATACCCATTCTGGCGTCATTAAATTCTAAACTATTGTCTTATAAATTTAGTTCCTAAATACATTTTAAGCATTTTTATATGTAAATAAAGATTTACGTTATATTATGCCTTGAAGGGGTCTTGCGGTTATACCCATCTTCCTGAAATTTTGATAGCATTTGAAATTAAAATGGTTGGGATCTTTAGGGAGCCGCGGTACCTCTCATTTCGATAAATATTGAACTGGCAGTACCAAAATATTGCATGAATTAAATAATTATTTATTAAATAGATTTTTGTACCCGGCATTGCCCGGGGTTTTAAATTTCTCGCTAAAAGATTTTTGGAAAATACTTCACAAATAAATTTGTTTGCCAATTTTTAAAGCTACAACTGAATTTTTTTTTTTTGTTTTAGATCAATAGAAAGAAAAATCATGAAAAAATTCCAAAATTGCAATTTTATTACCGTTTAGTTTGCGAAAACTAAAATATATTTATCTTCCCTTCTCCTTTCTGCTTCATGTATCGAAAAATGTCCCTTTTCCTCTGGAGGTCTCCTTATAAAAGGTAGAAAAAAAGTTCCTTATCCTTTTCCATTGAATTTCCCAAATTTATGTTGTTTAATAAATTTTGCATAATTTTAGTCGTTTTGTCCTTTATTCCAATAAAAAATATAACTATTTAAAATTATATGTCTATTGAACATAGTTTGTACATATTTCTGACACATTACAAAGCTTTATCGAAAACATTTTCGCTTAAGTATAGACAATAATTAGTGTTTACACTCAACAGTACTAATTTTGTCCGTTTTTCCCCATTTTACCCCGTTTTAGTCCCTTCTACTCCAAGTTTTGAATAACAATATAGCCTATAACAACCTCCAGGTATAGAATCTAACTATGTTCCAAATTTTAAAATCGGTCCAGCCGTTTAGGCTTGATTGACGAACAAACAAACAGCCTTACAAAGAGATTTATAATATATAAGAGGATCGGAATAATGAGCGTGGCATTTTCTATTAAAATTAATTGCTTTTGATTAAAATCTATAATAAATCGCGTCCCAAAATTGTACACAAGTAATTTTAATTCCATTTTAGGCAATTTATATAAAAATAGGCGTAACGAAAAAGAGGACGTGGCACTTCCTACAAAAAAATAGCTATTATTGAATATTCTTAAATATTTAACTGTCAACAGTTTTGACTATATCTTCAGTAATATAAATTAAAATGGGCTGAACATATAGTGGTTGACAAACTATATTTTTGACCGCTAATAGCTATAGTATGCGAATATTGAAGGTAAAACCAAATTGAAAACCTATTTATGGCGGATTTCAAAGCTATTGCGGCATATTTTTGGAATAAATGAGTGTCATTTTCTGAAGGAGATCTTATAAAAATGGGCGGGAGGGTTGGGTCAATAATAAACAAAATTATTTTTTATATAAATTCATAGTCATACTGGCCGAATTCGTTATCGAATATAATTGATCGATATCGATACAGTTTAGCTTAATTTCAATATCGAAATTTGTTTGATATTATAGTCTCCTTCAAAATTATTTACACGTGTTACTATTTTGAATTAAAATCACATAAAACTCAATTTAAATGTAGATGATTGAAGATAACTAAATGGTCTGATAATTTTATAATCTTATTAATAAGACTACGATTCATGTGTATTTCTTTGTTAGAAGAATAAGACATGTGTACCACACATTCATATGTATATAATGAGATACATATAATCTTTAAAATCACAAAAAAAAGAAGATAAATTTTGCACTCACCTTTACACTACACCAGATAAATGATATAAAAGCCCACACTGAAACGATAAAAATATTAAAAACATATCAACTTTAGTAATATTCAGATTAAAAGAGTTTTAAAAAAAGTATTTTAAAAAAAATGCCTTGCAAAGATTGTAATAAAGGTATGTACATAAAAATTGAAATTGTTTAAAAAAATTAAGTGCTTTATTTTGTAATTGATTACTTGTCAACAGTAAAAATGAGATATCGCTTGTTTCAATCGAGTTAATATTTTCAACTCAACAGAATATAGTTTTTCAGTTAAAAATATATAAAAATGATAATTTTTCCCAATTTTTAAAAATTTTAATCCAAATTTGCAATTAAAACTAATTGAATTTGAATATAAAAATTAGGAAAATTTTGAAATGTTGTAGTTTTTGGAAGGAAAACCGTTATTTTGTTGATTTATATTTGAACATATTTGAAATCCCGTTAGTATTATTGGATTTATCTTCTTTTTTCCCCTTTCAGACTGTAAATGCACTTTCCAAAAGTGTGGTGAGAAATGTGACTGTGCCGACCAGTGCAAGTGTCATAGCAAAGTGAGCCACAGTCATCATGGTCATGATCATTGTCACGAAGGACACACTCATGATAAGGAAGAGCATCATCACAGCCACTGTAAAGAGGGCCATACTCATGATGAATTCTGCACTAAATAAAAATATATATATCAAAAGTAATACATTTGATATTATTCCAAAAAAAAGTTTTAAATAATATCTCTTTCAACACATCTAAAAATACATTAAATATATAAATAAATAAAATTACTTTCCGTTACAAAAAAGTACTTAAGAGATTTCTTATTTTTTATACATTATACATAGTATATATTGCTTGTTAGATTGAAAATCAATTACATGCTGCTATTGCCAGCAAGAAAACCAACCAAACCCAAACTAACATCCAAGCATCCCCGAGAGTTCCATAACAATTTTGGGGTCTATTCTTCATAATGTTAATGCTCAACTGTGCATAAAATCAATGTTTAAATATGCAAATTTCTTGTTGTTGTTGTTGGTTTTGAATAAAGTAACAAAAAAGCGACAATTTCAATTTTAACAAGTAATTTTTAGTGAACAAAAAAACAAACTTTCCCCATTTTAAACTTTTTTTTTTTTCTTTTCTTCTGTTGGGGCTGTCAAAAATGACTCTCTATAGTGTCGTTAACAACAAAACAAAACAGATTTCTTCCCTATTTTTGTTTCCTTCTTAAAACAAAATATAAAAATAACAATAAGAAGCAACAAATAACTAAAATAACATTAAAATCAACACCTCTACGCTTTGATAAGCTAAAACTGAAAATAAAAACTTATAAATGGTAAATACGTTTTAGTGTTTTTAGAAAAAAATAAGCAGCGAAATCTTCATCTTCCCTTTTCGTATTGTTTTGCGAAATTTTTTATTTGTTCCATTTTATTTTGTATTATGGATTTTTGTTTCTCACTTTTGGGAGTTAAAAATTTCATTCTGTACGCCTCCTTTTAATGGCGTGTGTTTGTATGAGTCTATAGTGGCACATTTTGTGGAGCCATTACAGTCATTTTTTCTCTCATTATGTGGAGGCGTTATTTTAGCCTACTAGCATATTTTTTCTGTAAAACACTACTTATAATATTCCATTATAAATTTGTTAAGAGACCTTTTAAAGTCATTATTTGAATGTGAATTTTTTAAGTCTAATGGTTTTCCTTTAAGTAGATTTCAACGAAAGACAAAAAGATTTTAGAAGTTTAATATTTTAGATTATTTATTGACTTGTCTAATACTGATGAAGTCAATAAAGTGTAATATTAAAGGGATACTTACATATACATATGTATGTATGTATATGGGCAATATCATGTCAAGTGACCCAACTCAAAATATCGATTTTGGTGAAATTTAGATAGTAAGCCAGACACAAATTTTTAGCTCTATAGGTCCAGATCTGCCAGACTTAGAGGGGGTCAATGTTGGACATTTTAGTCATACAGGGTTTTATTCAAATGGGTGGAAAATTTGGTAATTCTGAACTTCCTTGGACAATTTTTGTTGGACAAATAGGTGAAAAGTTACACTCATTTGAATAAAACTCTGTATGACCAAAAAGTCCAACTTTGACCACCTCTAAGTCCGGCAGTTCTTAACCGATAGAGCTGAAAATTTGTGTCTGGTCTCCTATCCAATAGTGTAAATTTCTTACAAATCGGAAGATATTGTTTTTTAAAGATGGGTCACTTGACACGAAATTCCCCATATGTATATGTATATTAGGCCCTGTTTGTATGGTTCTGGGTTCATTCTATTATATAGAACTAGCTGTGTGCTCTGTTACCCTTAAAACAATAAAAATACCAATTTACGATTTTGAGGATTCTAGCTCTAATAGTTTTTCAGATTTGCGATTCTTTGTATTTAATTGATATCCCAGCTAAAAACGATCATATATGATTATATATGGATCATATATGAATCATATATGGACCATATATATTCATATATGTTCATATCCGAAAAATGGCGATATATGATCATGTCATATATGGACACATATATGGAATCATATATAAAAAATTTTCCATATATGAATAAGTAAGGAAATATATGAACATATATGGAAATATATGAAAATATATGAAGATTATGCCCAATTCCGCCAATTTTCGGATATGAACATATAAGAAAATATATGCTTCATATATGAATCCATATATGATCCATACATAATCTTTTTTAGCTGGGATGAGAAGTGCTACGCCCCCTTTTGCAAATCCACCCATTATCCCAAACGTTAATATGGATTTTAATGTTACAAATTCTACTTCTAATAGTTTCCCCGATGTAAAATTTCTTCTATTTGATTTGTATGTGAGGTGCCACTCCTCCTATTGCAATTTCATCATTTTTTTCAAACGTTCATATAGACCTCAATGTTACCCATACAAAATTTGAAGATTCTACCTCTAATAGTTTCCCAGATATACGATACTTTTTATTTAATTGCTATAGAAGTCCGCCGATATTATCCAAACGTTAATATGGATTTTAATGTTATCCATGCAAAATTTTAAGATTATACTTACGACAGCACCCACGCCCCCTAGTCCGCCCAATTTTTGTCTTAAATAGTAATTCATATCGAACTAAAGTGGCTCTAGGTGTTATATTTTTCAGATATACAAATTTTATTTGTATGAGAGGTACCAGTCCACTATACCTAGGTCGGCCATTTTGTCATATGGATGTCAAAGTTGTCCACATTAAATTTGAGGACTGTACTGTTTCAATTTCTGAGATATGCGACTTTTAATACTTATTTTCAAAAAGCTATTTTATGGTGGTTTGAGATAATTACAAACCGAAATCTTTGGAAATTTTTTGTAAGAGGGACCGATTCTTATGAAATATGGTGCAAAAATTTTAGTTCTAAAAATGGATGTAGAATAATTTTCGCTAAAGTCTTTGTAAGTGAACATATCAATATCTTTTAACTATTGTGTGTTAATTGCAAAAAATCGTCTAATTTGTCATACAAAAAATTAACAACTAGGGTTTCTAAGCGGGAAAAATTTCCCGGGAAATTTCGGGAATTCCATAAGTCGATTTTTTATTAAATTTGCTTAAAATTACCTGAAATATTAGGCAATGTTTTGCTTAAACTACAAATTTCGGTTCTAAGAAGTTCGGTTTCAATAGCCATACGTAAATATTAAAATTTAATTTAAAAAGTCTTCAACAAATACTCAATATTTAAACAGTTTCCAAACATAAATGTGGGAAATATCTTCTGGTGAACAATTTTGTAATTCAAAAAGTGCTGTTAGACATTCCGACTGTCGACAGAATTTCAATCTTGCAAATTCTTTATTTTTAGTTTCTTCAAATTCCTATTAATGTTGTTAATTAAAAAAAATCTAATTATAATTTTTAGTAAAAGTTTAAATTAAAACTTTAAGAAATCTTAATATGAATGAGATATTTCTATACAGGAAAAGTTCATAAGTATATAAAATAAATAAAATTTTATTTCATAGAAACTAAATATATTTTTTACCACTTTCTAATGATACAGAAATGTCGAAAACTTAAGAAAAAATACTATATTTCTTAAAAATGTTGCAGGTCATTATGTAATGAACAATTTTATAAATTTTTTTTAATCAATTCCCGGGAATGAAAAAAGTTCGGAAGATTAGAAACTATATTAAAAACCTTAAAGTTGTTGGCAACCCTAGAGCCGGAAAACAACAACAAAAGGCAGTTATCATACATAGTTTATTTTAACAACTAATATTTACAACAATAGAAACAAATATACAAATACTGCAACAAGTTTTTTATATTATAAAACCCTGCAGTATTTTGGAGTTAAGATCTCTATACCCAATAGTTTAGTAACAAAAAAATATAAAAATATAAGATTCGGCATAGCAGAATATAATTCTCTTACTTGTTTTTTAATATTTTATAAAATTTAACTCACTGCCTATAAAGCTAACAATGTCACCGTTAAAACTTACAGGGTTTACATAGAAAATCCCAGCAATTCAGCGAAACAGCCCCGAACCACCTATTTTACCTACCACTTAAGGCCCTTTCAAACGATCACACTTTACGTACGACAAGTCTAATGAAAAAGTAAAATGAAATTCCATCCGTATGATAAAAAAGAGAATAAAAGTCGTATGATTTATATTTTTTGTGTTTACACGATTGATATAAAACAATAACAAAGTAAGATAGAAACAACTGTTTCACTTTTTTTGTATGTGTTTACATAAAAATACATCCCTGATCTAATGCGACTTGCTTGTTTTTTTAATCATTTCAAAAAATGAAGAGAGCCATACGACTGTCAAATTTTCCATCCGTATTTTCTCTCAGTGTGTGATGGTTTCATTACATATTGCGTTTAGACGATCCCATCCGTACTCTTCTACACAAAATTTTGACAGATCATATTACTTGTGTGCTCGTGTGAAGGGGGCTTAAGGGGACACTAAAGTAAAGAATGTCTTCACTCTCATTTACAAAGCGTACATTCTTGTCTTTTTTGAATGCATTGACTCTTTGTAGAACTGCTGGGATATTTTTGTTGCAGCTTTGTTTGGTTTTTTTAAACTAAAACAACGACATTTTGAAATCAAAACCATTTACAATATCCTGAGGCGTAAAAAAAAATGCACAAAACTCTACTCCCTATAGATATCCTTTATTTCTATTTTGTTCTATACTGTTCCTATGAATGATTCCAATGCTCATGATGATGCTCTTGTTCCTTGTGATGATAATATTGCAATTGTTGGTATAGTTCTTATTGTTGTTGTTGGTGGTGGGGTTGTTTTTTTTCTTGTTGGCTATAAAACAATAGCCATAGAAACAGATTCTACTCGTAACTGATGATTTTGGTTATGATATGGCTAACTGGCTTTTGGTGTTTAGTTAACACACATTCAACAAACATTCGAAAGAGTTCATTTCACATTGTTGTTTACTAATTCAAAGGAAAAAAAACGCATATTATAGTTGTTTAGCATTATTATACATATTGTTGTAGTTTTGTTCTTTAATTAAAACTATTGTATAGAAAATAGAAGAATTTCTGCTCCCATTTTGTAATATTCACAAGTTTTAGGTACTGCATTATAAGTTTTAAAGGGAAAACTAATAAAGAGAGATCTTTTAAAACATTTAAATAAGAAAATATATGAATGTAATTTAACATTTTTTGGTCCAAAAATACTTCTATTTACGTAAATTTTTAATAATGATTAGGACTTTTGAAAAATTTAACTTTAATCTTATGATTTAATCCTTCGCTTTTAAATAACAACAAGTAGAAAAGTATATTCGGGCATGGACGACCATATAATACCCTACACTATGAGTATATTTTAACAATTTTTATTTTTCATAAAGAAACTTTTATGTTGAATTTTACCTTAATTCAAAAGTATTTAAAAAATTTATTGATAAAAAAAAAACAATTTTTTTATATAGGAGTATAGGTCAAACATGGGCCGATCCTCATTAAATTTGGGAAAAGGATATATTTTTAAATAATAGTTAGTTATGTTGAGTTTCATTGCGATACAAATGGTTACAAGTCAATTTTAGACGTTTAAGACATTTTTTGAATGGGGGTTTGTATGGGGGCTAGGGTCAAATAAGGGCCGATCATTACGAACATCTTCAGTGTCATTTATACTTATATAAAACTTATTTGTGCCAATTTTTAGAGAGAGAATAGTATATTTGACGTAATTATGGCATAAAAAGCCCAAATCGGGAGGTACGGTTGTATGGGGGCTAGGTGAAATAATGGACCGATTTCAACCATTTTCAATAGGCTTGTTCCAAAAAACATGCTTGGTCCAAATTTCATCAAATTATCTTGAAAATTGCACCTTGCGCACAAGGTTTACATGGACAGTCAGCCAGCCGGACAGACGGACGGACGGACATGTCTTAATCGACTCAAAAAGTGATTCTGAATCGATCGGTATACTTTAAGGTGGGTGTAGAACCAATAGTTTTGTGTGTTACAAACATCAGCACAAACGTATAATACCCTCCCCACTATAGTGGTGTAGGGTATAAAAAGTAATTTCGTCATATGTATGTACATTTAATTATCTATGTGTAATCAGTACATATGTATGTATATTATCTATTTATTGCGCACGATTTTATGAATTTTTGCACATTTGTGAGTTTTAATTCATAAAATAAAAGCTTTCTTTAATGTGCAATTTCACTCCTCACTAAAAGTTCAATGCAAAGACGAATAATATAAAATAACCATAAAAATAGGAGAAATATATCAATTAACTACAACAAGTTCGTTAAAGAAAATCAACAAAGTTAAGCATTAACAAATCTAAAAATGGGCTGCAAGGGATGTGATAAAAGTAAGTAAAATTTATGGAAATATTTTATTTATTTATTCAAATGTTTGTATTATGAAATTTCAGACTGTCAATGCTCTACCACCAGATGTGGCGATAATTGCGCTTGCAACAACGACTGTCAATGTGTTTGTAAAAATGGACCCAAAGATAAATGTTGCGAAAATAAAAACTAATTTTGTTTTAATAAAAACTGAAAATTCATGAATTTCAAATAAAAAATAAACATGTTTTTGTTAACATTTAAAAATGTAAAAATTGCATTTTTAAGCGATTTTTTTAAAATAAAATAATTTCCTAAAGGAAAAATTCAGCACTAACCTTTCGGATCCTAGCGTCTATTCAACAAATTATTGATTATTACTTTTATAAGTTAACAAATTTGATTAAATTTGTAATTGATTTAATTATTTTTATTGACTGAAAAACTTTTTCTAGCCTGGATTTTCAAACAAACTATTCAATTCCACAGCGGTCCAAATACTCAATATAGCCGGAAAAAGAGTCATAACTCGTTTTTGCAAAGCTCTACCGAAATAAAACTTTGCATTAATATAAACCGTCATACAAAAAATGGGCAAAATCTGTTAAATGGGCGTGGCAGAGTTGTTGACGATTCGCCGATAATAAATAATACACACATATATTTTTATGCTATACAGACTATGAATTAAACAGATGGGTTAAAAATTTATTAGAAATCAATTAAGTCGATGCTTGAAACAATCAAAACATTAATTGAATGCTTACAACTTTAAAGGATTACTTCACCTTTAACAATGCGTTAAGTAATCTCAAAAAATCTCTTTTTTGTCATATTTGAACAAATAAAATGATTTATAAATTTTAAAATATTTATGAAACTTCAAATTCTTATGCCTAAAATATTATAGACTATTTAAGAATTGTTTTCGATTATAAATAAAGAAATTATGAAAAGAAAATATCAAAACAAAATAGTAGGCTGGAAAATGTGTTTCAGCCAATTAAAAAATTAATTGATTCAATTAAAAATTTAATCAAATTTGTATACTTAGGATCAAAACAATTAGATAATTATGACAATTAAAAAATTGTTTAAATAAACAGGAATTAATTAAAAATAAACTACCGATAATTTTTTCTGTGTAAGAGGGGTGATTATTTTAACATTATGGGAGGCCACGCCCACATTAATTTCAAGTATATATTTATGTTAGTTTTCCATTTATAGAAAATTAATTGTTTCTTTATGTGGGAGGCTATCCATCATTTTTGGTCATCCCAGTTTTATACCCTACACCACTTTAGTGGGGAAGGTATATTGGGTTTGTGCTGATGTTTGTAACATACAAAAATATTCGTCCTATACCCACCTTAAAGAATCGTTTTCTGAGTCAATTAAGCTATGTCCGTCTGTCCGTCCGTCTGGCTGGCTGGCTGTCCTTGTAAACCTTGTGCGCAAGGTACAGGTCGCAATTTTCAAGATAATTGGATGAAATTTGGCACACACTCTTTTTTTGGCCGAAGCCTATTGAAAATGGTGAATATCGGTCCATTATTTCACCTAGCCCCCATACAACAGAACCCCCCGAAAAGGGCTTCTGAGCTCATAATTATATTAAAACTACCTGTATATTGATAAAAAGCGGCACAACTAAGTTTTATACGAGCCTTGATGACCTTGCCAAATTTCATAGAGATCGGGACTCATTTGACCCTAGCTCTCATACAAAGTCCCCTTCAGAAAATTACTTGAATGTCAAAAATTAACTTATAAACACAAATATCGCGATGAAATTCAGCACAATAAAATATTATGTAAATATAAATATATTCACAAATTTGTTAGGCGCAAATTTGGTCCATATTTGCCCCTAGCTCCCATATAAAGCCTGTTTCAGAAAATTAGTTTTTCATCCATAAATTGCATAAATGTATCGGAACAATTACTTGAATGTCCAAAATTAGCTTATAAACACAAATATCGCGATGAAATTCAGCATAATAAAATATTATGTACATATAAATATATTCACAAAATTTTATCAGGCTTGGTCCTTATTTGCCCCTTGCCCCTATATAAAGCCTCTTTCAGGAAATTGGTTTTTCATCCATAAATTGCTTAAATGTATCGGAACAAGGTAAAAAAAGATAAATGCTTTATTATGAAAACTAAATCACATTTAATATTCATAACTGGTGTAGGGTATCATATGGTCGGTCACGCCCGACTATATTTCTTACTTGTTTTTCTAAATATTTGTATTGACAGTAAAGTTATTCTTACGAAAAACGAAGGATTCTTGAAGTTATATTTTGCCAAAAGCATGAAATTAAAAATAATTTAAAATTGTATTTTTATTAAATATTTCATTAATTCAATTAATGTATTAATTAATTTTATATGTTGGTTTTATTAAAGGCAGTTTAGACTATACCACAAGTAATATGATCTGTCAAAATTTTGTGTGGAAGAGAACGGACGGGATAGTGTTAACACAATATGTAATGAAACCATCACACATTAAGAGACCATAAATGACCACGCCAATTTTTGTGATGATCGACCGTCATTTGACCCTAGCCCCCCTACAAACCCCCTTTAAAAATATCTTCAATGTCCTAAAATTGACTTATAATCATTACTATTGCGATGAAATTCAGCATAACTAACTGTTATATAAAAATACATCCCTCCTCCTCCCAATTTGTTGAGGATCGGCCCATATTTGACCCTAACTCCCATATAAAGCCTCTTTTAGAAATTTAGTTTTTCTTCAATAAATTGCTCAAATACAATATAAAATAATTGTTAAAGTTGGCCATGACTATTTACTATATACTTGTTTTCTTAATGAAGGATTTCATTGTAGACCAGTAAAATTTATTAAAACTTTTTATTAGGAATTATTTATATTTTTTATTTTCGCAACATTTATCCTTTGGTCCAATTTCGCAAACGCTGTTATTGCATCCTATACGTTTAAAATTTTAATTTGCAATACTTTGAAAGAAGTATAAAAAGCTTTAGTATTGGGCCGGAACCATATAATTTTTTTGAAAGCTTTTTTTGTATAAATTTTACAAATCAATTTTTTATTAATTTAGCCGTGCGTTTGTATTATTAGATATTATTTTTCTTTATAACGTTACTGCTTTAAGAAAATTTAAAATTTATTATCTACTATATTGCACACGTTTTATTTGCGATAAGTTTTGTAAAATTAATTTTTTGTTCAATAGATAAAACATAATTTTCGTTATCAGTTTTTGTGCAATTTCACTCCTCACTAAATAAAGCTTTTTAATTTTAAAATTTAAACAATTTGTAAAAAGTATAAAATAACCATGTTGGCGAATAGAAAAGTATCAATTAAACGCTATAAGTTGTTTAAATAAAATCAACAAAGTAAAAAAATCTAAAACCAAAAATGGGCTGCAAGGGATGCAATAATAGTAAGTTTTAAAATAATAACTTAATTATTAATCAATTTTTGAAATGAACAATTAATACATAGATTTTTAATGGAAATTATTTTAAAATCATTTGTAGACTGCCAATGCTCTGCCATCAAATGTGGTGACAACTGTGCCTGCAGCACTCAATGCAAGTGTGTTTGCAAAAATGGACCCAAGGATAAATGTTGCGAAAATAAAAATTAAATATGTATGCATATTTTAAAAAAAGTTAAAATCGTAATTATTTTTTGATTTTAATGTGAATTAAATAAAATATAAAGTGAATATTATAATAAAAAAAAGTTTGTCTTTGTTTTATTTAAAAAAATAATAGCTAAAATGATTTTTGTAAATTTCAAAAAAAAAAATCAAAAAAATAAGGAAAAACTATTTTTTATACTAGTTGTGTTTTGTTGCTAACGTTCAAAGGCAATTTCATATAAATTTAAAATTTATAAACGTTAGGAGTTAACGTGTAAAATTATACAAGTTAATTTTAACGTCGATAAAAGTGCTACCAATTCAAAAATAAAAATACAAATATTAATGTGTTTATGTCAAACAATAAAAAAATATTTTAAAATAAAATTTAAATCAAAAAAAATATCAAATAAAAAAACCTTTTTTAAGAAAATGTAAATAATTTCAAGATTTAGCAGATTTCTTCTGTGGAGTGATGCCAAGTCAGGTAATGTTCGTTTTGTTGCTAACTTTAAGCGTTAACACTCATTGATAACAACAAAACACAACTACTATAAAATAAACTGAATTTATTATTACAAAACAAAATATAAGTTATAGACACTCGCGACCCCTAGTGTTCAAATCAAAAAACTTAACTTATGTCAGACAACAACCTGATTTTTACATTGTTTTCTACTTCATAACAACCCTGTTTTTCTCATATTTTGCAAAAAGTATACAAACTTGGCATTACTTTGACAAGTATTACTTTTGACACTTCTTCTTTTCTCTCGTTCTACATTATTTTTCATTAAAAAAAGATGGCCGCATTTTATAGTAAAACAAGTGAAATTTTCATTCATTAATTAAATATAAACAAAACTTTTAAAAATGTAATTTTTTAAAAAAAAAACTAATCAAGAGTATTTAAATTTAGCAAAAATTATAAAATTTAGCCAATTACAAGTAGATAAACATGAAATATTTCACATTTAAAATCAGTGTCTGCGTTTTCACCGAAATGAATGTGAATGAAGAACAATAATTGAGTGTGTGGTATAATTGAAAGAAAAAGTGGCATATAGAAATATAGTGTATGAAGTAGATAGAGAGAAAAGGAACAAATAAATGACTATAAACAAAAACGAAAAATAAAAAAAAATCGAAAAAATGAAAATGAGAAAAATGTTATAGAAAAATAATTTTATTTAAGAAAAGTTAATTAAGTTTTTAAGTAAATTCATACTTTAGCAGACAACAAAGAAAAATGTTACAGTATAAAAATTCTACGCAAACAAATGCGGCCTCTAACTCAACCACGCCTACGCAGACACAGCAAGTACAGCAACAGACAACGCAAAATGCCCCCGGCCAGCAGGTTCAAACTCAGGTTGCACAACCTACCCAGGTTAAAGCCACCTTTGTTAATGCTCCGGGCCAACCACAAATGACTAGTACGGCTTTGCCAAGCAATCAAATACCACTGTCACAGATTATTAATTTGCAACAGTTACCACAGCAGTTTATACAGGCTTCACCTCAGCAAGGTGGACACCAACAAGCCCAGGCATTGCCACAAAATATGTTTCAAATTGTACAGCCAATGCAAACCGTAAATATTGATGGTCAAGAGGCTATCTTTATACCAAACCTTAATTCACAGATTTCGGCCGGTCAACCTATGACTCTAAACGGACAGCAAGTGTTTCTAACACCCAATGGACAGATTGTAAGGGCACCTCAGGCAGCTTCTCAGCCTACTGCGGTACAATTGCAGCCGAATACACAGTTTATACAGGGATTGGGGCAAACTATACAAATACCTGCTGGTTTAGGAGGAGGCGGTCTACAGGAACAAACACTTTTTACCATACCGGGTACAAATATACAAATACCAGTGACAACCATACATAATCCTCAAACTACACAACAGTTGCAACAACAGCAATTACAGCAATTACTACAACAGCAACAACAACAGCAGCAACAACAGAATCAAGCTCATGCACAGGCCCAAGCTCAAGCACAGGTTCAGGCTCAACAGCAAGCCCAACAACAGGCTCAGCATCAGGCCCAGCAGCAAGCCCAACAACAAACACAGCAACAGCATACAACCACAAATGTCAACAATGCAAATTCCAATCAAAATCAAACATCAACAAATTCTTCTGCTTCCGCCAACAACTCAACAAATTCCTCTCAAACCACTACTACTACCACAACTCTACCCAGCACAATAACAATACCCGGTACTAACATACAAATACCCACCTCCGTGGCGGCAGCAAACGGTCTACTAGGCAACATACAGCAGTTATTAGCGGGCAATACAAACACGATTAAAATTGACAATGGTCAGACACTGCAAAATATACAAATACGTCAGGCTACTCCCGGTAGTGCTCCAACGCAATCTCAACTACAGCAGATTGTGCAATTCCCACATGCCCTGCAACAGCAAACGGCAACCGCACAACCACAGCCTACAATGCAACAAACCACCGTGGCGGTTCAAGTCCCCATACAGACAGGAGTAAATGGCCAAACAATATATCAAACGGTTCATGTGCCAATACAACAACTGGCCTCAACAGCTGGAGGTATTCCAACTGCGAATCTTTTACCCACAGCTCAACCAATGCAAATGCCTCAAATTATACCCCAATTTACTCAAATTGCCCAGATCGTTACACCCAATGGTCAAATACAACAAGTGCAATTAGCACCACTAAATGCTCTAACTTCGTATCAGCAATTGCCCACCAATGCCAATATTATTCACATACAGAATGCGGCTCAACAACAGCAAGTTCAGGCGGCAGTACAGCAACAACAACAGCAGCAGCAACAGGTGCAACAGCAGCAACAACAGCAAGTTGTGGCAGCCCAACAGCAAGCCGCCGTTGTAGCCCAACAGCAAGTTCAACAACAACAGCAGCAACAACAACAGCAGCAGCAATTGCAACAATTACAGCAGCAACAACAAATCATAAATGCCATAAATGCCGCTAACGAATCGGGTGCTCAAATACCGACAAACCAACCGATAACCATCACAAATGCTCAGGGTCAACAGGTGACTGTTATACCCGCCCAACATTTGCAGCAATTACAAAGACCTGCAACGCAAACTACTGCTCCAACGGGAACACCGCAGCCCACGCAACCCTCAACCAATCTAATACAATTGCAACAAATACCGGGTCTTCAAGCTCTGCCCATACAAAATATTCCCGGTATAGGTCAAGTGCAAATAATACAGGCCCAGCAGTTACCACCCAATTTACAGCCACAAAACATACAACAACTTTTAGCAGCCACAGCACCAACCGGCCAGCCTCATCATACAGCACCTTCACAACAACAGCCCCAGCAACCCCAACAACAACCTCAATCCACTACACAACCCCAGCAACAAACAATGAATCCACCTACTCAATCTGCTCAAACTAGTTCCACCACTACCCCAAATGCCACTACAGCCGCCACTATACAGTTGCAACAGACCCCTAGCACTAACAATAATAATTCTTCCACGGTTTCACAAACTACACCCTCCACTACACCCCAGTCGCCTAGCAGTAGCACCGGTTTGCAACAACCCAAACAGGAGCCTCAGTCGCCCACTCAAATTGGACAGACTTTAATAACAAACATTAAACAAGAACCACCAGATAGTTCTCCGGTTTCAAGTATTAATAGTGGCCCAAATGGCGTACCAGCTGGTACTACACAAATAAAATGGCTAATGCCACAGGCTACAACAGTAACACAGGTAAGATGAAAACCTTTTTTTAAGATTGTATATACATGTAATAAGTTGTTAATGTTTGGAAATCTTTCAAAATTCATTTAAGTCTTACTTTTTTTGTTTTTTTTTTTTTACTGAATTAGCAAATGATTTTATATTGAAATTGTTAGTCTCGGATCATGTATGCAAGGCAGAGCTGTAAATGAGTCATTCTTTTTTATTTTTATTCGTTACGAATTACTAAAATTTTGAATTAATTATTTTCACAACAAAAATGAATTGAATGAAATATGAATCAATTCAAACGAATTAGGCAGAAATGAATTTCAATTCAAATGAATTGCAATTCGTTTCCAATTCAAATGAATTTGTGAAAGCGAATTGCAATTCATTTGAATTAAATTGATATTAAAATCGTTTAAATGAATTAGAACAATGAATTAAATCAGAAATGATTTGTAATCAGTCAAATTCAAGAGCAGATCTGGAGGGAATGAAATAATATGGAAATTTCTCCTACCAAAATATTCAAAACACAATGGTGTTTCATAAATATGCTAAACATATATACATTTCGCTCATATACTAAAAGAGTGTGATTAATAAAAATAAAAAAACCATTTTGCACAAACGCATTTAAAAATTTCAACTGACAACCAATTCACACTGAAAAAACGAAAATTTAAATTTGTGCCAATTCAAATAAATTCGGTAAAAATTACCAAATTCATTTATATGGACTCAAATTTCATTCACTTCATTTTTTGTGTGAAACGAATTAATTCAAAATTTCACTATTCAGTACACTATTAATTCAAAAATTAATGATTCATTTTCAGTTCTGATGATATCCTGTGCACAACATTTTTATAGAATACTCTTATAGTGCTTAAACAATTTGTAACCTATTGCTATTTACGTTAATTTTGATTTGGTGGTGGTAATTTATTTTAATGAATTTCCATACAAAACAAGACATTTTTAATTTGTTTTCCCTAACAAGGTTACCTAACAGTCTACTCATCCTTACAGGTACAGCAGCAACAAGCTCAATTGCAACAAATTCAACAGCAAATCCAACAAGCCCAGCAACAACAACAGCAGCAACAGCAACAAATTGTTTCAACCATCGACAGCATGGCAATACCAGTGACCATACCTGCATCTTTACAAATCACAGCCATCCCTCAGGGACAACAGCAGCAGCAACAACATCAACAACAGCATACGCAGCAGCAACCACCAAGTCAGTTTGTATTACAACATCAACCAACACGTAATGCTTTAATAAAACCTCATTCATCACCACAAATACTAACGGCTGCCGGAAATACAGCGACCACTGTAACGAATGCAACAGGAGCCACACAAATAACCATTGCTACAACAACTGCCAATAGCAATAACTCTAGCAATAATAATCAAACACAACAACAACAACAGCAGGGGACGACAACTAACCAACAACAACAGTCCACATTGCAACAACAACAGCAGCAAACCGCCAATATCCCACCTCCATCACAAACCTCCGTCAATGTCAACATCAATTTAAATGATCCCGGCAATTTAGGTATCAAACCACGTTTAAAGCGTGTGGCCTGCACTTGTCCCAACTGTGTAGAGGGTGAAAATAAATCGGATCGGAAAAAACAACACATCTGCCATATACCAGGCTGTAATAAAGTCTACGGTAAAACTTCCCACTTAAGAGCTCATCTAAGATGGCATACTGGCGAAAGACCTTTTGTCTGCTCATGGCTATTTTGTGGCAAACGTTTTACCAGATCCGATGAGCTACAAAGACATCGACGAACGCATACAGGCGAAAAACGTTTTCAATGTCCCGAATGTAATAAGAAATTTATGCGTAGCGATCATTTGTCAAAACATATAAGAACTCATTACAAAACTAGATCTCCCATGGAGCTAATGGAGTTACAGAATATTGCCATTAAACAGGAAAAAGCAGAAGGTGGTGGAGATATGAATGCCATGCAAGGCTTGCCAGGAAATATAGTGAATATAAATTTACCACCCCGCCAAGATGGTAACCAACAACAACAGCAGGGTACAACAGTTGCTGGTTCAACTATTGTTTCAAATAATTTGAATAACTCCCTCACATCGGATAGTGGAGGTGGTGGTTCTACTGGGCCAGGTGGTATGGGGGGCATAATGCAGAATGTAGATCATGCCAATAGTTATGAACACGATGAGGACTGTGATGATGAAGATGAGGACGAAATGGACGACGAGGAGGATAGTGGAGATGATGAGGAGAAAATGACCATTTCGATTAATGAATTTCAAGACAATTCTAACTAGCAGGACATTGATATGCTAATAGAACAATATATGTTTGATGATTTTTGAAATGTGCTAAACAACTAACGTGAAATGTGATTTAAAGAGAGTTTAAGCTGAGAATTTTCTATGAACGAAGAGTAAATTGCGACGGCAAAGATGGTAAGAAGTTTTAAAGTAGATTTTATGATTTTAAAGTTTGTTTCTCTTTATGTTTTCTATAGAAACGTGAAGAGACATTAAACTTGAGAAATCTAAAACTTTTATAACATAAATTCAACTTTGCTTTCCAGATTTTGTCGCAGTAAATATTGTATATAAAATAGGAACGATTTTTGTAGGGTATTTTTAAATAAAATTTCGATAATTTTTATAAATAAGTATTTGAAATAATATAAAGTATTTTGTAATTTATTAAGTTAAGAATTAATATCAAATTTTAAGAAATTATATTTAAAAATAGTAGAAAAACGAAAAAAAAACACAAAATATATTTTCAATCAACAACAACTAAGCAAAAATGAAGTAAAATAACATGTTTTTTCCATTAACAACAACCTCTAACTTGTATTTTAAACAAAATATAACAAAAAAAAATAAATTTCAAATAGAAAAAATTTTGATTTGTTTAAAAAATTGCACATAATTGATGTAAAAAGACTATTATATAAATGAACAAAAACAAGTACTTAAGTACTTTTAACGCATATTAAATTGTAAAAATTTTTATAAAAAAAGAAAATATCAAAAATGCTAAACATTACAAAACAGTGGAACCAAAATGGGAGCATTGTTTAAAAATTTAAAAAAGAAAATAATTCTTTTACATTTATATTTTTTGTTTTATATTTTAGAATGTCGTTGGAGAAATGTGATACCCAGGACTAATTCCTTAAAAAAATTAAAAAACAAATTATATAAAATAACTACTTATTTATAATTATATTTGCAAAATTTAAACAAATAAAATGTTTCTGTCATTATTTATAATAAATGTAAATAATTTATGTGTCTCTAAATGTATATAGTTGATATATACATACATCAATAAGTATGAATATAACATTAAAGTAGTTTAGATAATATTTGCTGTTCAAGATGAAACAAACAAAATAAATTTTGCAATTTTTTTACAATTTTTAATATTTTTTGTTCGATTAAATGTTTTTATACTTTAATGTAAACTCTAATTACGTTTAAACAAATTTTACATTTTTACGTTTTTTTAGAATTTTAAATTCTGTTAAGAGAAATGCTATTATTTGACCATAATAAATATATGTATGCTTTTTGATTTTTCTTTAAATTTTAGTTAAGTTAAGATAAATTATATTACAAACAATTAAAATATTTCTATATATTTTAAATGCACTCGAAAATAACAGAAAAATATATATCATATTTCTTGGAAAATATAAAAAAAAACAAATATACTATATATAAAAATATATAAATTGTTAAATTATTTATTTAGTGTTTAAATATGGTAGAAAATTTCAAAAGATTTTTCTTTAAGCTTTTGAATGTTTACTGAACATTTTACCTAATTTGTTTTTTAATATTTGGAATTTTTCTTATATAACTAGGCATCCCACATGAATTATCAAGATATTGTCAGGAAATAGAGTAAATGTAAATTAACACTCCGCCATTGATCCAACTATTGATTTGAATAACTGGCCCAAATGGACTAAAAATGTCTCAGTGTCAAATGGAATGGAATTAATAATGCCTATTTTTCTATAATGGTAATTATTTTAAGGAAATTAAATAAACATTTAATGAAATAATTTGATTTGTTTTAGGATTTAAAAGTACATATTCATTAACATGGTTATGAAAATGGAAATCTATAGACTTGATTAAAGGAAAACCTAATTTCGAATTTAATCTTAGTATAAGATTGTAATATATTGCTCCCCCTTCTAACTAGAATTTGCTTGTCTCAAGGTTAAGCTCTGCTCGGCATAAAATGCCCCACTAAATACAAATTTAAACGTTCAACGTAAGAGACAATTTAATTAATATACATATAAACTCTCTGGAAATCAAAAGCCTAGAAATTAATTTAACAATATACCAGCTACTAAGCTGTTTCTATTCCCGTTAAATGTGTATGTATTAAAACTAGTATTAAAAGATTACAATTGGGTGCTCCACGTTCTAACTAGAAGTTGCATGTCTCAATATTAAGATACTACTTGTCGTTAAATGTACCACGAAATGTAAATTTTAAGCAAACCTACAACGTCTTGACAATTAGTTTTATTTTATTAAACCAAAAGTTTACTTATTTCATTAATTATTAACAATTTATTTAACAAATGTTAGCTTTACCTGTGAATGAACTTTTATTTGATTGTATCTCGTTGAATTTTATTATTTCTGTAAATACTTCACTTTTATTAAAGAAACGCAACTGTAGTCTATACATTTTAATTATTTTAACTATTAAAATTACACTTTTGCTAAAGAAATTTATTAATTTTCACTAACACTACTTTGTATGCACTTGTTGTCTTGCAGAAAATTTAACACGATTGAATTTGATTTGGTGGGAAAATGATAAGTTTGGTGGGAAACCTAAGCGTACACATATTTGTACAATTTGTTAATAAAAAAAATACTACTTAACCATAAGGGTATTCTTTTTTCCCTTTGATTTGTACTTACTACTCGTTAAAAAAATGTAGGAAACGGAAAAGGTACCAAATATTAGTACTTTATTGCAAATATTAGCTTTTATCTATCAACTACTATATTTACTCAACTGTTTTTAGTAATGTCTGGCATCTTTTTTAATAGTTTTATCTTGATTTTATTTTTCTGGCAATATTAAAAAAACAACAAAGAGTTAAAGAAAAATGTAAACATGAAAAAATTGGCATTAGTAAACAAACAAAAATAAGCATGCAGATTAAGCCATGTACACATGGATTATGTACATACATATGTATGTATGTATGAATCAAATTGCAATTGGGTGCTCCCTGTTCTAACAAGAATTTGCCTGCATCAATGTTAAGTTCTACTTGTCGTTCAATGTTCCAATAAATGTAAATTCTTATAAAATCTAAAACGTTTTAAGGCAATTTAAAAATGTTTTATTTATTAAAGTCTATAAATTAATAAAGTCATTAATAATTGTTTAAAAAAATTTTAGCTTTACCTGAGTAGAAACTTTTATTTGATTTTTTTTTTTTCGTGGATTTTTTTTTATTTGTATAAAAATTTCTATTTTATTAAAGATGCATAACTGTAGTCTATAAACTTTAATTATTTTAACTATTAAAATTACACTTTTACTAAAGAAATTTAATATTTTTCTCTAACACTTTGTATGCACTTGTTGTCTTGCAGAAAATTGAACTTGATTGAATTTGATTTGATGAGAAAATAACTTTGGTGGGAAATCTAAGCATACATAGTTGCACAATTTGTTAATAAAAACTACTACTTAGCTAAAAGGGAAAAAGGATCAGTATTTATATTTAGTACTTGTTAAAAAAGTAGGAAACGGAAAAGGTACCAAATATTAATACATACATTATTGCAAATATTAGCTTTTATCTACCTACTACTATATTTACACAACTGTTTTTAGCTAAGTATGGCATCTTAATTTATTGCTTTTATTTTTCTGGCAATATTAAAAAAAACAACAATGAGTTAAATGTAAAAATGAAAAATGGCATTAGTAAACAAACAAAAAATGTTTTTAATAAAAAAATATTAAGCATGATACTTAGTGCATCCTGATATTAAGATAATAAAGTCTAAAATGTTTTTAGAAAGTAGAAGTAATTAATTAATTAAAAAAAAGAAAAAACAATGTTAGAAATAATTTGAATTGAATTTTTAAATGTTATAGAAATTTTGCTGCTACCGTTTGAATGTAATTTATTTTTTTATTAAGGGCTAGCAATTGAAAGTGTCTTGCCAAATTAAGCCATATACACATGTACTAAATACGCTTGAAAATTATGACATATACACTGCACATACATACATATGTATGTATGTCCCCTAAATAATCTTGCAAATTAATTTGCGTATAATAATACGCGTATGCACATGCATGTATGTACATATGTATGTGTATGAAACAGATTGCAATTGGGTGCTCCCCGTTCTAACAAGAATATGCCTGCACCAATGTTAAGTTCTACTTGTCAATAAATGTTCCACTAAATGTAAATTCTTTACAAATCTAAACCTTTTTACGTGTTAAAACAAAACTTTTTTCATTTATTATACCTAAAGTCTATAAATCAACAATGTTATTAAAAATATTAGCTTTACCTTGGTAGAAACTTTTATTTGATTTTTTTTCGAAGAATTTTCTTATTTCTGTAAATATTTCACTTTTATTAGAGGTACACAACTATAGTCTACACATTTTAATTATTTAAACTATTAAAGTTACACTTTTACTAAAGAAATTTATTATTTTTCTCTAACACTTTGCACTTGTAGTCTTGCAGAAAATTGAACTTGCAAAAAATTGAACTTGATTGAATTTGATTTGGTGGGAAATCTAAGCATACACATTGTTGTACAATTTGACACTAAAAAATACTACTTAACCAAAAAGGAAAAAGGAAAGAAATAGTATTATTTGTTAAAAAAGTATTGGAAACGGAAAAGGTACCTACTCTATTCACATAATTGTTTTTAGTAAAGTCTGGCATCTTTAAAATATTTACATTACTTTTCTTGTTTCATTCATCTGGCAATATTAAAAAAAAACAGAACAATGAGTGAAAGGAAAATGTAAAAATAACAAATTATTGGCATCAGCAAAAAAAACTTTTTTAATAAATAATTAGATAGTAGAAGGGAGGAAACCTGTTGGAACATCATAAAAAATATTTATTAAATGCACTGACTTCTGATATTTGTTAATTTCACACATTATAATAATCAAAACGTTTTAATTTTCAGATTATTGATGTCACTTAAAAACAATGGATCCTACACGAAACCTTGAATGTCAAACAAACATTAGAAGCATGCAAGAGTCATTTGTTAGGATTTAAATAGAATTTATCTATAATTATTATGGGATGTGAAAATAATATTTTTTCAAAATATTGGAAAGAAAATAATATTGTATTTACCTTATTTAATCAAATTGTGTATGTTCCCTAAATAAGCAAACCAAAAGACATGGATTTACATACACACATATGTACATACATACATATGTATGTAAGTATGTATTAGAATGCGATCTAACCAGAATTTGCAAGGTTAAGCACTATTTAAAAAATCTATTTATCTTTTATGACTTTAGATACATTTAAGTACGTATGTATAAATTTAATAAACAAAATACATTAACAACATTATTAACTTTTTACTTTTACTAAATTGTTAACATAATGTAATCCCGATTGCTAATATTCCATATAATACAAACACACAAAACAACATACATACATATGTACATACATACATACAAACATACTTATTTATTCGGCTGCAGTTGGATGCTGCCTTTTCTAACTGGAATAGGACTCTTTTATATTGCAGCACATTAAATATACCACTAAATTCAAATACCCATTAAATTAAAAACCTTTTGTTTTTTCAACATCAAAATAAGCTACTAAAAATATTGTATTTTATAAACCCAACGCTTAAAAGTAAACATACTTTTTTAACAAGTGTAAATTTTACCTGTATTCATGCTATTATTAAACTTTTCTCACAAATATCACTTCTTTTGTAAACATTTCTTTTTTATTAAATTTACACAACTGTTAACTATAAATATTAATTATTTAAAATATTGAAATTAAACTTTAACTTAAGAAATTTATTATTTGTTTCTAACACTCTTTATTGCACTTGTAGTCTTGCAGAAAATTGCATTTGATTTGGTTAGAAAATTTAACTTTGGAGGGAAATCTAAGCTTACACATATTTGTACAATTTGTTAAGAAAAATACTACTTAAACAAAAAGGGAAAAGGAATAGTATTAATATTTACTTGTGGGATACGGAAAAGGTACTAAATATACTACTTAGCTGACAATATGTTCCTACTACAATATTTACACAACTGTTTTTAGTAAAGTCTGGCACCTTTGGAAATTGTAATATTCTTTTAGGGTTCTTTAATTAAAACAATTATTGAAAAGTCGATTTTTTAACTTTTCGACTTTTTTCGTTTTATGAAAAGATGACTTTTCGAAACTTGAGTTTTATGACTTTTCAAATTTATCGACTTTTTCCGACTTCTCGACCTTTTCCGAATGGAAATAAATATTTGATGTAATTTCACAATCTAAACGTACATATATCGTAACACATAAAGTCGTAAAACTAAATATAAAAATTGTATAGGTCAAAATTTTAAATTCAAATGAAAATAAGTAACTATTATATTAAAAAACACAAAAAATATTTTTCTTCATACTTCGATTTTTTTCTTACAAGATAGTCGACATTTCGACTTTGTTAGGACAAAAAAGTCGAATTCGGCTTTTTCAGAAAAAAGTGGATTTTTCGATTATTTTAAAGTTGATTTATAATATAACCCTAATACTTTTTAATAAAATACTATTTATATTATTTTCATGAAAAATTATTATTACTGAAGGATTTTTCATAAAATACAATACACAAATTATCCAAGTTAAAAAAAAATAATAAAATTCAAATTTTTGCTAGCATATTTTCAATAATTTTTAAATGTAATATATTTGATTAAAAATATACTACTTATTTCCTAATAATACAATATTATTTATAACCACTCAGAAATATAAATAATAATTAAAATTTTTCCTTCGGTGTAGAAATACATATTTAAGATTTTTGTCCGATTCTCCCCAAAATTAGGTTTTTTGAAAACTAATAAATTTCTATTTTCGAAAATTTTCTATTTTATATTAGTGGACTACTATTATACTTATTCCACTTTCTGTGATTAAAGGGTTAATCGTAACTTTTAACTTCGTTGAAAAATTAAAGAAAAACACAACAAATAAAGTTGACGGCTTAAAGCCGTTTTTAAGCCGCCGCTATAATTTATTTCAGTCTCTTCATACGTTTATGTTTGTCGACGCAGGTTTTTGAACTAATGACGACCAAGTGTGAAAAAGTGGCGGCGATCAGAAAAGAAAAAATACTTTATTTAATAAAAACAAATAAAAATTATAAAAAATAAGTAGAAAAAGTGAAAAATAAGAAAATAAATTAATAAGTTTTTGTTTAAACATTATTATAATTTCAAAAATAAAAAGTAAAATTTGTGTTGGAAAATTGCAAAATCAAAAATTTTGCCTTTTCTGATAGAAAAAACGAGAAGCGAAGAAGAGAAGAAACAAAAAAGAGAAATAAAGCCAAAATTTATAAAACTTAAAAATCAAATATCTATATATAAATTAAATTTCTGTAGTGGAGGTGAATTTATTTTGTTTTTTGCAGTTGTATTTAGCTTAATAAACAAAAATAAAATGCATGTGAATGTTGTTGCATTTGTTAAAAAATAATATGTAATTGAAAAACTGAAAATTGTTGTTTGTGTGTTTTGTTCATTATATTTCTTTTGTTTGCTTTAATAGTCTTGTCTTATTAGACAGTAGTTTGTGTGGTAATATTTTTCTGATTAGTTTTGTTGTTTAATTTTTTATTTATTGTATGTGTGTTTCTATATAGACCTAAAAAATGCAACACTGCAAAATTTTTATTGCTGTTGTTATTTGTTGGAGCATAGTCAGAAAAGGGAGAAAGAGTAAAAGAAAAATACGAAAACATAGAAAAGTGTGGTTAAGTTAAACGCAAAAGAAAAATATATATTTTTTTCCATAAAATAATAATAAATAAATAAAAACTAACTAAATGAATTATTCAAAGTAAATATTTTACATTTTGAAATAAAATAAATTCCGAAAACTTGAAAAATAAAGAGCGAGCGGTGTTCAATAATTTTCTTTTTAATTGCGGGTGCTCCATTTTAGTTTTTCCATTTCATACGCGGACATATTGCAAAGAAAATTTTTATTTAAAAAACTGTGAAAAATATTAAGAAAATATATTATTTATTGTAGAAAAAGAAACAATTTTGTGTATAATTTTGTATGTGTTAAATTTATTTAATTTGTTGCGGTTGGAAAGTTGTGTGCAGTCAGGTTTGCGTATTTTTGTAAATATATAAGTAATTTAAATTTTTATTTTTTTTGTAATGTTTCCCTTAAATTTTCTCCATTTTTATTATAATTTTTGTAAAAGTTGTTTTTTCTTTTTGTTTAAGTCTGCTTATTTATTGCCTTTGTGTGTGTTTATATCTCTTATTTTTTCTTAAATTTTTGTTTGTCTTTTATTTTTCCAATCTTATTTTGTATTTATTTTCTTTTTAAAGCGTTTATATTGTTGCTTGACATATTTGTTGTTGCTGTATTTTAAAAATTTGGTTTTTATGTTGTGCTGTGTGTCTATATCTGTATTTGTGGCATTTATAACGTTGTTGGTGCCCTCATTCCCTAAAACATCAATCCTTTTGTTATTGTTAGTGTTTTCATTTTGGACATTACTTCATTTCTTCATCCCATCCATTTAATTAAACATCTATCGACGTCATTGTTTTCTTTTTTCTAGACATTATTCTTTTTATCTTCTCATTTTTGGAAATTATTTTTGTAAATTAATAGTCGGTTGATGTCACGTACGATTTTTAATGGGTCCAGAATTTTAGATCTTAGTTTTATTTAAATTTTTTATTAAAACAGGTTTATTTTTATCCGTAAATGATAGCTTGTTATGAGGATAACTGGAAATTTGTTAGTTATCACAAAGTTTTATAAAAGGTTTTCCAAAAATTTAGCTTATATGTATGTATCTAGAACTTTTGATCATGATTTGCACCATGTTTTCAAGAACCCCTTTACACATATTTATGTAACCTGACGGTAGAGTTTGCATGTTTACGTTTTTTTATTGTCATACATAGTAGGTGTTAAGGTCAAGCAATGTTTATACATACTTCTATTTACTATATTTCCCTAATTCCAAACTTATAAATGTACTTCTAGTTCTAATGTTATGCATAATTAGGGTCTTACTGTTTTTCTAAAAAAGACGAAAAAAGAAGAATCTGTATTTATACGTTCCAAGATAAATTATTCGGATCATTCTTCTGTCGCTAATTCAATATATTGGAACTTAAGTCCATTTTTATAATACTAGGATCAACTATTTTCGGGGAAAGTTTTCTGGTATATATTCTTTTAGATATCAGCTTTTATACATTTTAAGTTTTCAATGTGTTGTGGAAGTGTACAACTCCAAAACATGCCTCGAAGAAGCACCATTCAAAACAGTAAAATCAATATTTTTATATACCAATGTCCTCCATGCTGCATGGCACGATATCATTATGATTACATCAAAAATGTTGATATGTGTTTAAATATTATTTACTATGATCAAATTAAAACCAAAATTTAGGACTTACAGTGTTATTGTAACGGGCAACATAAGCGTGAAAGTTACGAGTAGTAAAAACTGAAATCTACTATATAGGATGACGTTTTGTTAAGGCATGTTTTGGGGTTGTATACCGCTATAATATATTGAAAATTTAAAATACATTAGTGCCAATATGTGCATGAATATACACTAGACAACTTTGTCGGAAAATATCGTCCCTAGAGGTACGAAAAGGGACTTATGATCCAGATAATTCAATTAGAAACTGAAAAACGATACCAAAAATACATCTTGGAACGTTGAAGTACAGATCCTTATAACAAAAAATATTATTTTTAGATACCCTATGGGTTCTATTAAATTCCAATATTAAATTTTGGTTTTATCTCTGGAAAAAGGGTGAAAACATACAAATATAGCCAAAAATCGCCATTTTAATGATATTACATGAAAAGAGGATACAAATCCCCCAAAATTGTGGACCAAATGGGTCAAAAATATATCCATGCGGTTGATAGTAACCCCTTAAAACAATATTAAGCATAAAACCATGCGATTCTAAAATTTGTGTATCGTATAATATGATCAAATATGAACTACAGGAAAAATTCGCATACTTTTGTGAAGTAGTTTCATGGACTTTTTTTAAAAAAAGCACAACTAATTTAAGTAAATGTAAAGTTTTCAAGTTTTAAGGGGTGTGATATCAAAACTAAGGACTATCTAGACAATATAACAAATTAATTTATTTATTTTCCACACAAAATATATTATTAAATTTGGTTTCTTTTCATAGTTTACCTAAATTCGAATACTTATGTACATATATAATTTTTTGTGTGAGCGTCAACGAGTTAAATAATTTTCACTTATCCTAATATACAGGCCTCTTTTAATCTCTTTAATCTTGCGATGTGATAGGACCCATAGAACAATGTTCGATTACTAAAATTTGGGCTTATGCATAATTTTTAATTTTCATTTTTAGAACACAATTCATTTATTTTTGGCATATTTAAGTATACACAATTAATTTATTTACTTAGTTGTATCCGTTGTAGACTTTCAATATTTATATAAATTTTAAATAAACATTTATTATTTTCCAATTTAATATAATTTTTATGTTTATAATTATTTCATCTCAAATTTGTGACTGCAAATGTTTAGTTTTGTTTTATGTTTGTTTTTTATTTTTAAGTTTGTTTGCTCGTACATATAAAAACCATAGTAGTTAGTAGTTTATTATTAAACACACAATCAACATTAAAATAATAATAAAAGACCAACAATCAAAAAAAGCATCCACATATTTATTTAAAACAAATCCCTCAACATTTACCTAATAAAAAAACTTAAATGAAAATAAAAAATAAAATTAAAAATCCCACTATACCAACAAACCTACAATTAATAAATTAATAATCAACAAACAAAATACTTTATTAATATTTTTTTGCAGAGACGCTTATCATCAGGCGGTTATTATGAAAGGTTATAATTTTTTTTCATACTTACAATTATTATTTAACAATTTATATTAACTAAATTTTTTTAAAGCAAATGTTCAATTAAATTTGTCGTTATAATTTTTTCACTTTGTTTTAATTTCTGTTTTATTGTTATTTGTATTATAATTAAAAAAAAAGCAAAAGACTTTCTTTTTATTTTATTATAAAAAATATATAAATAAATTTGCCTTTGTAATTACTAAATAAGTGTTTTGTTATTGAAATTTAGGTAACCTGTATAAAATGTCTCGTAACAAGGACAAATATGAAAGCGGCAATCGTAGACAACAGATTTTTATGTCACCCGAAGATGTGGCAGCTGGCAAAAAATCTAACTGGACTGGTATTGAGATAACAGGTGCAATATTTATTTTTTTATTAAAATTTTTTGTTTATATTAATTATTTTGTTCTTATATTTCATTCATTTAGGCTGCGTCCGCAATATTAGTCCTTCATTATGGGAATTTGAACATTTAACAGCTTTATATTTAAATGATAATCATTTGTTACGTTTACCAGCTGATATTGGACTATTGGTTAATCTTCGTACATTAGATGTATCCAGTAATAAATTACGTAGTTTACCTGCTGAATTGGGTGAATTGATACAATTAAGGTGAGTTTGGAATGTAATTACATATTTGAGAAAATAAAAATATTTATTGCAAATAGGACGTATTTCTTACAACTCAGTTAAATGTGGTTTAAGTTGCAGTTAAATTAAACTCGAAACAAATTAAGGAAGATTTTAAACGATGATTGCGTCTTTTAGTGTTGGTTTTAAATAAGAGCAGCTAACTTTGTTATTAATTCCAACTTTTCGATCAAGAAATATTAAAAATTTGTAATTTTGGAAAAAAAATCATTGAAAGCGCTCTATTATTGATAAAAGAATGACGATTAACTTAAAAATAAAGTTTTTTCTTTTTTCCTAATTGCTAATTTTTTATTTTTAGTGATTGTGTTCTGACACTTATAACATAGGTTTAATTGGCCAGTAATGCATAGTAAAAAAAAAGCTATAAAACTCCTATCAGTTGAACATTTCTGAAGAAATATAAGACATAAGTTTTTAACCACCCCAATAAATATTGAATCATGAAAAATAATTCAAATACCAAAATTACCAGTCAATTACGTAATCTAAATTTCAAGACTAACTTTAATAGAACCAAATGAAAAGACAATTCTATAAGAGCAAAAATATAAATAGCAGAAAAAAACCCTCATAAACACAAAACCCCATGCACACAATATCAGTCACAATTCATCTTCCACCAAAACAGTCACAAAGTAAATTCATCCACATCAGCAATATTGACTGAACAATCACAACATCCTTAAACAACACAACACTCCCCCATTCCAAAGCTGACAGAATTTTCCCAAAATTGACATACAATCTCACAAAAATTTACCATCATAAATCAGTCAATACTAAATGAAAAGAACCTATGAATATTAATATTTGTGTTTTTTGGTATTAAGTATTAAATTTTGCACTATTTTATAGCAAAATCATAATGTATACAAAATTGTCTTTATAGAAACTTCTAATTTTTTTAAATCCATTTAACAAAATTTTTAAAAGTATGAAAATGGAGTTTTGGTGGTGCTGTTAAAATAATATTCCTTTTTTTTGACCACATACTAAACCATGTAAGCGTTATCCAATTTGAACAAAAATTCATATTCGCATATTTATGGATCTTGTAAAGGTGGTCATTATATTTTTCTGTAAAATGTTTCAAAAGTAAATAAACATTTCTTATATTTACTTTTGTGTGTCTTTAGAACAAAAAAATCTCGGGGGAAATTTTAATAACTCAAAAATTTTTTAAAGAATTTTGAGTTTTTTTTTAATGTTTTTAAAAAGACAATTACATTACGATTTTGCTATAAAATAGTGCAAAAACCATATTTTTTGAAAAAAACTCGAAAAAGTGTAATTTTTCCCAATATAAACACATTTACAAACTTTGGCGGCGATGTGCGGACTCTTATCCTCAAAATAATTGAATAATATATTATAGTCTTTCATTTGACCTTAAAATACAATATATTTTCACTATTAGAAGTTGATCCGAGAGAAAAGCCTATTTTCGACCCTCCATATTAAAGAAGTACAGGCAAATCCCGGTATAACGAATCTCACTTTAACGAAAATCCGATATAACGAACAGCCAAATTTTTAACATTAACTACCTTATATAGCGAACGTTTAAGAAATTGTATACTCGATATAACGAATAAAAAGAAAAAATACCTAAAAAAATCCAGCTTTTGATTTTATATTTATATTGTTAATATCAAAAACTTGATTGAGCAATTAGAATATAATGTAAAAATGAAAGAAGTCGCCCATATTCCTAATTTTAGTTATACTACATATCTGACCTATCGATCAAAATTCCTTACATTATAATCTAAAAAGCATAAATCTGTTAGATGTGAATTTAATGGTAAATTTGGCTTGAATAGTGTTTAAAAGGGACACATTGAAATAATAAAATTTTACAGCAAAATAAATTATTTCGATACCCCAATATGGCGCAATATTCCACGATTTTGAAATTATCAGCATGAGACTCAGTTATCGATTCTCAAGTTCAGTTTTTCCTCAAAAGAGTTTAATTCTATCTTCTAGATAATAAAATAAGGCTAAGGAAATAGCAGGAAATTAAAGTTGTTAGAAAACTAAAATCCTTCACAAATTTTTCAATCCGTTCAGATGTTCAAAATGGAAAAACGTGTGCGTTGTTATTAGTTGTTTGAAATAAAATTTGAAGTAATAATTTCATACATTAATTTGAATGGTTTTTTGTCCATTAAATAAAGAAATTTACTAGAAAAAATAATTCCGATATAACGAATATTTCGATTTAACGAAAGGGCCTGACATTATATCATTCGTTATACCGGGATTTGCCTGTATGCTATACTTTTAGGCATTTATAAAGATAGCTTCTATATATCTTAACCGTTCCAAAAAAGTATCGATTACAAATTTATTCTTATATCGTCACTATATTATTGTTTAGACTAGAGTTTCTAATTTCCCGGACTTTTTTCAATCCCGGGAATTGACTTCTAAAAGTTTTCATTCCCGGCAAAGTAATCAAATTTGTCGATGTATGATAACTTGCCAATTTTTAAAGACACATTGTATTTTTTATAAGTTTTTGTCATTTCCGTATAACTAGAACGTGGTAAAAATTTAATTTTTAGAGTATAAAATTTAATTTATTTTCTAAAAAGAAATATCTTAATTTTAAATGGGTTTGTAATAAAAATTTTCTATTCACAAAAAAGGAATTGGAACTGTAATTATTGATTTTTTTAACGTGTTTATTAAATTCTTCACTAAAAGTTAATAAAAATTAACATTTTAAAAATATTATACATTAACAAAATTTATCGGAATTTCAAGAAACTAATAGGAAAAATGTTGCCTACGACCTAAAAACATCAATATATGACAGTCCTTTTTGAATTACAAAGTTGGGCTCGAGAAGTTATTTCCCACATTTATGATTATTATTATCTCGTTATCCAAGGCGTAAGAGCTACGTTCTAAAGTTTACTTAAGTTTTACAAATTTCATATAATTTTCCAAACATAAGTGTAATTTCTTCCCTTTGGGAGAATTGTGAAATCCGTCCTAAATGTAATATATCTCTAACAATATCATGAAGGTTATTCAGTCCTTCGTCTCTTATAGTATCTAAAATTAATGATTAAAGCATTCGTTACTAATCGAATATCATAGCATCAAATATGATACACTGATGCAATTATAATTTTTATAAAATAATCGGTTTGACTGAAAATTTAAACTTTACGCCATTTGTCTGATAAATTTAAAACTTTACAGGGACACTGTAATTCCTGAGTTTATCGATTACGAACAAACATTACTCTTTAATTTATATACATAGATAGATAACAGTTTAAATACGTACAAATCATCTTTGAATTAGCCTTATTACAATTTGTTTAATTTAATAATTTAATAAATAGTAATTTAAATTAATACTTTATTAATATATTTTCATTATTATTTATCTTTTCAGAGAACTTTTGTTAAATAATAATTTTCTTCGTGTTTTACCCTATGAAATTGGCAAATTATTTCATTTGCATGTTTTGGGTTTAATGGGTAATCCACTACAAAAGGAATTTCTATCCATTTACAATGAACCCAATGGTACACAAAAATTATTAACATATATGTTGGATAATTTGTCAAGTAAGTACACAATTTCAATAAGTTTCTGAATTTATATATAATTAAATTTTTTATGAAATATGTAACAAATATGGAAACATTTTCAATATCTGGAAATACTTTTAAAAATCATAAAGGATCATTAAGAGTTTATTGAAAAACAATATTAAAATTTTAGTTTTAAATGGATTTGCTTTTAATACACCACCGGGCAACCTATTAATGAGCTATACAATTATCCCTCTTCCTTGTGGAAAAAACAATGATTTTAAATTGCTTTCTGTTTTCTTTTTGTTTTTTTAATTTTATCTTCTTTGTTATTTAAAAACAACATTTTTTTCAATTGGCAAAAAAAACTTTTTTCAAAAGGTGCAAGTAATAATTGATGACTTAGCCACAACTCTTAATAGACTTGTAAATCATCTTTCATAGTCAACTGTAATAAAAAGTCTTGTAAATTTCTATTCACTAGTTATAGGTGATTTTCCTAAAATGAAAATGAAGAGAAAAAAATAAAAACATAAAAATCGATTAAATAGCCGCTTCAATTAACTGCAATTTTCCCGTATAAAGTGAAATGAAAATGAAATTGTTTAGTGTAGTTAGTTTATGCGGTTTAATGTAATGCACAGGCGAACGAAAGCAACTTGAACAACTCACGCTCGCAGCGATGGCACAAGCGAGTAACGAATATTACTTTTAAACAATATCTTTTCAAGTGACTAAAGTTGTATTTAAATTACAGTTTTAAATTAAACGCCTTCTAAATCCAACAATAACCATAAGACGCGACCAATTATGCTATCAAGCTAAAAAATATATATATGTATAAAGAAATCTAAAATAACAATCGTCGCCTTTAGTATTAACATTGAACTGTGGTTGGTGGGAACCAATGTTTGAACTGTAACTAGAAGTTTGTTATTGAATAATTAACTGATCCGCTTTACTGGCCCTAATGTTGATCTATATTAAATTCCGTCATAAATTATGGGACAAATTTAAAATTTTACAGGAAAATACATACATATATTTGTCTGGGAACTTTGTCCCATCAGTTGACAAAGTTCCCAAGTTTATGGATTACGAATTAACTGAATTTAGAACTTGTATTCTTAGTTATTTTAATTGAGCCTTTAGGACCGGTTTTTTACTGTCCAGTTGAACGTAGTGTAACCTTCATAAGCCATAATAAATGTTTATAAATAAGTAGACCCCACATTGTTAGAACGTCCCGGTTATGGTAAAAATGAGGTTTTAACAAACGTTAGTCTAAGATATCTCGAAAAGCAGATGTGATAGCAAATTCTAAGGTCAGATTAGCGCAATTCAACCATAATCTGTGTTATGAATTTATCGGTATATGTTATCTTTGTTCAACCTGAGAAAACCTTCTAATGTCTTAAAAACTGACCCCTTTTCTGGATTTTTGTTTAGAACCTCTTGATATAATATTTTCTATTGAAAAAATCATTTGTTTTTGTGAAATATGTAAACTTCTTACGAAATCACTGTGTTCACATCATCTGTGGAGAAATGTAAAAGAAAAAGGAGCTCTACATAAAGTAATGACCAGACAGTTGTACCAGACAAAACTACACAAATTCGAGTGTAGTAGTTAATGTGGTGCTGTGCAGTTGAAAAAGGCCGGCCAAGCTACTTTAATAAATCAGACAAGGAGTTTTCTTGTTATTGTTGGTGTTACAACTGACCAAAGTGAATTTTGTTGTTGCTGTTACTAAGTTTACGTACTTGTTTTTATTAATAAACACAAACACTAAACAACAAGTTACAACAAATTTAAACTAAAAGAGAAAGTTTCCTTTAAACAAAAAAAAAAAAATCATGTTTGTTGTTGTGTTGCATCTTTTAGCCAGCACTTCAAGTAAAAGCAACATCAGTGGCATCAGCAGCATCAACAGCAACATCTACATCAACAACAACTGCAATCGTCATCGTTAACATCTTGCTTGCCAATACCATACATATTAATATTATAAGTTGTTTGGAGTCGAAGTGTATGTACAAATGTTGTTGCTGTACGAAATCCAAACCCAGCCAGATCTGATAGACGTACCAATGTGTACGTAGGAAAACAAGCAATAACAACAGCAACAATAGAAAAAAAGTGTTGAGAGTATTGTGTTACTTTAGTGCTGTTGCTGCAACAACAAGATTAAGTTGAATTGAAATGAAAAACAAAAAAAAGGAAAAATAAAGTTGATTTTCTTTTATTGTGTGTTGTGCACGGTGCATGTTTATAGTTTGAAATCATACATGCAACATTTTTTTCACAGAAGTTGTACGAAAATATTTACAAAAAAAAATGCATTTGTTTAATTTTATATACCACTTCATATTATTTTTTACTTTTGTTTACAAAAAAATCATATGTCTTGTTTTTTATTACCTTAACTTTTAAAATAAACAGCTTTAGCTTTTTCTGCAAAATCATCTTTCTTATTTTTGTGTAACCACCACTTTATGTTTGTGTAAAAGGGTGTTATCATTAAGGCAATCGATGGGTAACAACGAGGAGATTTTAATTTAATACAAATTAATAAATCCATAGAAGCAAAATTTGTCTGTAATATTAAAATGTTAATTATAATGTGGAAGTTTGCAAGGAATCAAGTATAAAGGTTCAAATTACAAATCAAGGAGTTCTAAATACAATCATCGGTTAAAATCCTCCTAAATTTGTTTCATTTTTAATCTAACCGCCAGTTAAGCTACATTTACTTGACTAGTATAAAAACCTAAAACGGGATTTGAAAACATTTGCTTAATAAAGTTTTTTTGTCGTTTTCAAATCCAATTCAGATAATGAATGGATTCTGTGACAACCATGAATTTAATTTTGAAACTCTTATTTTCTTATTTTACAGGGTATAGAAAATTCGTTTTCAATCTGAATTTTATGTTTGATACTTGCTCTTTTTTCTTTCTTTCATTCATTATATCGTGTTGAAAGTTACTTTAAGAAAATGAAAAACGAAACACTTCTTTTTTTTCATTCAGTTTCCATTTTTATTATTATTGCAACTTCATGCCACATTTTTCGTTGTTGTTGTTGTTGCATTTTATTATATTTACAACCGAATACAAGCCTAAAAGGGAGATTTTTTTATTATTTCTGTTCGGTTTTTCTTTCTCTAATTTGTAGTGAACAAAATGATTTTAACGATTTGCTACTCTTTGTTAAAATACCTTTCATAGTTCATAGATGATTGACCTGAAATAATCACATTTTACTGTCACTTAAAAATTATCATTGGTTACGCTACACTCAATTGTTGTTGGTTTCTTTTAATTTCAAGAAATTATTGAAAACTTATGTATGTTTTTTATTGGTTTTTTTATTATTTTTTTTTGTAAAGACTCATTTTTTTGAAAAAAATTAAAAGTTTATCTTTTAGTTAATTTCAGTTTAACTAATTTGCCAATAAAATTAACATTATTATTGACTTAAATATATTATTTGATTTGCATTTGCACATCTAAGAATTATTCTTGTAATTTTGTGAATACTTTGACACAACCTTGAATTGTCTTACAATATCATATATTATTTGGTTATCTTAACACCTGCTTAGTAGTTATAAGTGGTTTTCAATTATATTATAGTAAAACCTCAACTTAGTCATTACCAAAATTCATGTGTTATTTCTTATTTTGATTTCCAATTCAATGTTGGAAAATAATTCTAAACATATTATTGAATTAAAGTAAAAAATCTCGTTTTAAAATCTATATCATTAAAATAATGTAGATTATAATTGTTACGAGGGTAGTGGCAAAAGTAAAAACAATTCCATTGATTGATTTAGATGTCTCCAGGCTTTCTTACGAAAAGTTTACAAAAAGCATTACTCAAGATTTCGAGCTATGGATTTCTAATACGTTTTCAAATCAGCGCAATTTACACATCAAGTTTTTGTTTGTAGTAAATGTTTACACCTGTTGCAAACTGAATAAATAACATTTATTCCCTTCCTGTTATTGGAGTTGTTAATTGTTTTCAATTGATAAACATGTTCAATCTTCTATATATATAAAAATGAATGTGTGTTTGTTTGTATGTTTGTATGTTTGAACGTTATAGACTACAAAACTGCTGAACCGATTTTCTTGAAATTTTCACAGCGTATTCCTGTATGTCTGGAATAGGTAATAGGCTACTTTTTATTTTGAAATTTCAAGTGGGCGAGGTGCCACGCCCATATTAGAAAATATTAAATCCGTATATTTGAGATAATATAACAGTTAGAGTCCTCAAATTTTGTCGGAGCCACTTTAGTGTCAATATGATTATTTAGGACAAAAAGTAGGCGGACTAGCATTAGGGGGCGTGGCACCTCCCATATAAATTAAAAACAAAAATTCGTTTATCTTAGAAACAATTACAGTTAGAATCTTAAAATTTTGCACAAATAACTTTAACATCTATGTTAACATTTTGGAAAATAAATTGGCGGACTACCCATGAGGGGAGCGGCACCTCCCATATTAATTAAATGCAAAAATTCGTTTATCTGGGAAACTAATAGAACTAAATTCTTCAACTTTTGCACTAAGTTCTTAAATATTCGTCTGAACATTTTGGATGAAAAAGATCGGACTTCCATCTGGGGGGCCTTGGAGCCCCCATATGAATTAAATAGAAAAATTCGTATATCTGAAAAACTATTAGAGCTAGAATCTTCAAATTTTACTTGAAGAACTTTGACATTCATCTGAACAATTAGAGTATAACGGGCGGACTTTCAATGGGGGACTTGGTACCTCCCATATTAATTAAATACAAAATTTCGTTTATCTGGGAAACTAATAGAACTAGATTCCTCAAATGATGCACAAATTACTTTGATATTCATCTAAACATTTTGGAGAAAAAAGGGCGGGCTTTTTTCTTGGGGGCTTGAAACCCCCACATGACTTTTAATAGAAAAATTCTTATATCTGAGAAACTATTAGATGTAGAATCTTTAAATATTACATGAAGTACTTTGACATTAATATGAACATTTAGGGAATAATTGGCGGACTTTAAATGGGGGACTTCGCACTTCCCATATTAATTAAATACAAAATTTCGTATATCTTGGAAACTATTATATTATTCAAATTTTTCATAGATAGATAGAAATTGGCGAACTTTCAGTAATTTTCTTGGCATCTCTAATGTGTAACATATTGTAAATCTAGAGAACTATTGGAGTTAGAATCTTCATCGTTAAGTGGGTTTTTTATTTATACTGTTTTTAGGGTAGCAAAGCACACTGGGTAAAGCTAGTTATTAAATAAATTCATTCAAGCCGGACTTGACACTATAATTTCTAAAAAGAACTACATTTATTATTAATTTTTGAAATTTGAAGTCGAACTTAAAACTTGACTAATAATTAACGACATTAAAAACAAGTATTGAAGAACAACGGTGTCAGAAAAAAAAAAAAACAAAATCGCAACTAAAAACCTTCAATTAAACTTCACAACTCATGGCTGTTTAATGTACTTCATTCAATATTGCGAAATACACTCGACAATAATAGAGTAAAGTACTTGTTTCAATTATTGAATGAAAGTGTAGTGTTAAATTTATTAATATGTAATTAAAAATACTAATTGATGACAAATATGGCCCAGTTATTGAGAGTTTAATTAAAGTGGGTGGGTTATGTTTAGAAAAGAGCTAATTTTTAATCGTTCAGATTCTGCTCTTAAAACAATATAACAAAAACTGTTATTCTTATACGATTCATTTCTTTTTCTTGAGAAATTTATGGCATTTTTTATATAAAATAAGAATTTATTTTATTTCTCTATTAAGTAGAGAATTTTAATCAGTAAAGGAATATTTATAATTGAAATTAAATTTAATGTGATATAGATCAATTTTCAACAAGAAAACATCCCATTTTTAAGTAGAAACATGTCAGTAGAGAAAACATGTTTCCAAAACCATCTCTCCCTATTCAAGTCACGTGTATGACATAAAAGTAAATTTAATGCTAGCTGTAGAGTGTGCAGCAGTAGAAGTAGCAAATTACAAATTACGATCAAATTTTCGAGAGAAGAAAAAACAAACATAAAACTTAATGTACATTTATTTGTTATAAACAACTATTGAAGATATTTATGTCTTAAACGGATGAACTGAGGTGGTGGTGATATCGAAAAACTGAATATGAGAAGTGGTTGTAAAACTCGAACATAAAGTCTTTAAACCTTTTGGATGAAACTGAGTACAAAAAAAAAAAAAACAAGTAGGAAATTATAGTCGGGCGAGGCCGACCATATAATACCCTACACCTTTGACAAATAATAAAGCATTTAAATTGAATTTTACCTTGCCTCAGATATACATACTTAAGCCGTTTATTGTTGAATATAATTGTGGACATTTAAGTGAAATTTTGATGTGGGCTTTTCATAGGGGCTAGGGTCATATGAGGACCTATTATTATGGAATTCGTGAGGGTCATCAAATGAGTATATTAAACTTAATTATGAACTTAAAAGCCCTATTTGGCGGGTTCAGTTGTATGGGGACTAGGTGAAATAATGGACCGATGTAAACCATTTTCAACTGGCTTCGTTTACGGTATCATAAAAGATCATGTGCCAAATTTCATTGAATTATCTCCAAAATTGCGACCTGTAGTTTGATTACAAAGTTTAAAAGCCCTATTCGTGGGTTCAGTTGTATGGGGGCTAGGTGAAATAATGGACCGATGTTAACCATTTTCAATAGGCTTCGTCTACGGTACTATAAAAGATCATGTGCCAAATTTCATTGAATTATCTCCAAAATTGCGACTTGTAGTTTGATTACAAGGTTTACAAGCCCTATTGGGGGGTTCAGTTGTATGGGGGCTAGGTGAAATAATGGAACGATCTTAACCATTTTCAATAGGCTTCGTCCCTGGAACAATAGAAGATCATGTACCAAATTTCATTGATTTATCTTCAAAATTGCGACCTGTAGTTTGATTACAAGGTTTACATGGACGGACGGACATAGCTAAATCGACTCAGAAAATGATTCTGAGTCGATTGGTATACTTTAAGGTGGGTATATTTCCAATATTATTGTGCGTTACAAACATCAGCACAAACCCAATATACCCTCCTCACTGAAGTGGTGTAGGGTATAAAGATTGAAAAATACGTAAAACAAGAACTAACCGGCCTCGACATAAATAGCAACAACAAAAACAATTGCATTTTTACAATGATTGTTGTAAGAAAAGCTTCTGAAAACTGAGACAAATACAAACAAGAATAATCATGCTTATTACCAACGCATGGCATGGTAAATAAAAACAATAACACCTCAACATAAGTTCTCTATTTTTTTATGAAAATAAAAGCTGAGTTTAAAACATTTCTCTTTTTTTTTTTTTTGGCTGAGTCTGGTTTAAAGCTTTGCTAAATGAAGATAGCATGGATCGTGAGAGTAGTTTTTGGTTATTTGTCTCTTATTGTGGATTATATAGGAAAGAGTTGCCAAGTATATATTGTTAAAATATTGTAGAGATTGTATTATGTTCGAAAATCTATATAGTAAAATCTATGTTAAATAATCGATTCAATAGCCCCCAAACTTCAATATAAAATACAAATTTGTTTTAATTAATAATTGGTTTAGTAAATTAAAAAATTAAGTTTTCGATGTCATTTAGACTGGTTCACTAGTAAGCGAACTAGATACTTTAACAGATACAGAATAAACCGAATCAATAATAAATTGTTCTCTAACAGAATACTTGTCCAGTACAATCTCTTACACTTTAAAAAAATTCCCCTAAAAACTATCTATACCAGCAGCACTGTTTTACAGAGAGCGAAATTCAAGTCTTTATGAGAGCGTGTTTGTTTTTTAAACAACAAAAAAAAACTATTACTGTTTCATTTGTGTTTTTTTCTACGTTTATTACTAAACCGGGCTTTTTCTTGTTGTAACTCTGGTCTTGTTTGTTGTGTTACTAGACCATGGTTATAATAAAGCTTTTTTCTTTGCTTTATTATTTTTTTATTTTTGGTTTGTTTATATATTTTAGTGCTGTCGGTAGGCTGTTGCCTTAGTTAATTGAAATTGAATTTTTAGTCTGCCACAAGTCTGGCTTGAAAACGGTCGTGCGGTCTACAAAAAAGCTCATGTTAGACAATTTTTTTTTAAAGAAAAGCAGAAAAAGAAATTTTCATAAACAACTTTCGCGTTTTAATTACGGTCGTCTCTTGTGTATTTATTTTTTTGTTAATGTGAGAAGTAAAATCCGTGTTCAAAACTAGAAAACATCCGCTTGCAAGGAATAACAATTATAAATAATACAGTTAAAAAAATTTATAATTATCTAAAAATCATTTAAGAAAAGTAACATAGTTGAAAATTATTTAAAAAATTTTTATCATAAAAATTTGAAATAAAATAAAAACTCGTTAAAAAGGGTTTATACGAAAAAAAATAAAATTTTGCTAAAAATATAAAAATTTTGTTAAAAAATTAAGCAAAATTTTAAATAAAATAAAAACGAATAATGAAAACGATTTAAAGTAAAAAATGTTGGATAAAACTACAACTTGAAAAAAAAAAAAAAAAAAAAAAAAAATTAAAAACTAAAGAAATTCTTCAAAAATGTATTAAACTATAATAAAACTTAACTTTGGGGGAAAAAAAACAAATAAATTGATTCAACAAAAATATTTGTGCAAAATAGTGCCTTAAACATAAAGAAATAGTTTTTTAAAATTATTAAAAACGTTACAAATTGTGCTTTGTTTTCGCAAACATCCATAAACAAATCTAATGATTGTAAAATTCAACCAGCTTATGCTACAAGCGAAGCCGTTTAACAATAACTGCAAGAAACCAGTCAAGGATTATGAGACCGCATACAGGACAACAACAGCAGCAGCAGTCGCATCATCAGCAACAATACTGTGGAGTAGATAATTGCTTGAAACAACAACAACAACAACATTTTCTGAAAAACCATCAAAGTCTACAACAACAGCATACTGCAACACATTTGCAGCAACAGCAAAAGTATCATCAGCATCAACTACAACAACATTCACTTAATCATGCATTACAACAACAGCAACCACCACCCGCACCGCCTCATATGTGGAATCCCCATCTTAATGCAACGTGCTATCCCTCCCAATCTCCCTCAAATGGTGTAAATTCTGTAACAAATCCCAATCATATAAATTTACAGAATTGTCGACCTTTTCCCTCGAATCGAGTCTATCCACATCATACCCAGACTCCTCACTATCCTCCCTCTAATGGCTTTCCACATGCCTTGCCCACAAACAATCCACAGGCTTCTGAACGTATGCCTTTAACTGCTCCCAATTACGCTAAGTTGCCTCCTCTCTCGGTGGTAAATCAGCAAAGGATTAATGAATGTGCTGGCATTCCTTTAATATCCACAGCAACGGCTCACTTAACGCCTGGTCAAAGGCAAAGGATATCGAGAAAACAATCCCATTCTCCGCCGGGAAAGAATTGGACCAATATGTTGCCCGCCAATACAGCACAAAATTATGCTGCGGCTGCCCAATATGCTGCAGCTCATGTCCAGGGTGCTCCCTTAATGTTAAACAAACCACAGCAACAAAAGCCAGAATATTGGTCTCCCAATACTTTTGGCTCCTCCAATAACCAACAGCATCAGCAGTCTCAGTTTGGTTCGAAAGCAATGCAGTATAATAATAAACAACAGGATAGAACTCGAACTCCTTTGCGTTACCAAAATTCTGCTCCAGCGGCTTTGTCTTCATCAAAGTCCAAGGAAAACCTGGAGCAGCAATTAAAACACTCGAAAGACAACGAAAATTCATCTTCCAATAATGGCGATTCTTCCAACAGCAATGAGACCTGTTTGCCACGCATAATAAAGCCGCGTAAAAGAAGAAAGAAGGACCGTAAGCCGCCCAACAATTTGGTCAATGCGGTCTATTTAAAAATGGACAATAAGTCCCTACAGGATAAATCCTCTAACACCCAAAACAACACAATAAAAACCTACAAGTCATCTGAGGACTTGTTAAAATGTTTACAAAAATTTACCCAAATAACCAATTTAAATGAGCAGCCTCAAAGATCCAATAGCTATTCGAATAAAACTTATGACTTGTTAGCAGCTCAAAGTAAACACGAGCAACAGCAAAAGTTGTCACTGTGTACGAGTGGCAGTGATATTAATCATGGTATATGTTTCTGTAATGAATGTGATCCTTTAAGATCAATATGGGATTATCCGCTAAGGAGATCGCTCTCAGATTCCTCTACTTCGGATACAAGTGGTACTGGTTCTTTAAGTGACAATACCACAACATCATCGAATGATTCCGAGGAAATAAATTGGCCTAAAACCAGAGCTGAAATTGTGGGTGTTATAGGTTCAAAACGCAATAAAGATCAGCAGAATTCTTCATATAGTTCTAATCATTTGATGAGCAATACTGACAACACACAGGATAACAAGATATTTAGTAATAATATATTAAGTGGTATAAATTTAGCCAGTGAACTATTTAAAAACTCAAACTCTGCTGCCTTTGCCAATTTGGATCAGGCTTTGACATCAGCGGATGACACTATGCTGCTATTACCCGAAACTGCTGAAACTTTACTAACGAAATCCATTAATGAAATCTCCAAGAAACTTATAGAGACTTGCTCAAATGAATCAGGCGACTTACCTTTGTCTTCCTGCAATTCTTTGTCTTCATTTTCAACCACCTCTTCAAATTCCTCTTCAGCCAATTCCACATGTGCTGATTTCTCTAACGATAGTGGTATTGAAAGTGCACACATAAATGCAGGCGATGATTTAGTTTTTAATTTTGATAATTTGCATATAACTACAACAAAGTTGTCGTTGTCACCATCATCTTTATCAGCAGCTTCATCGGCATCCTCAACATCGTCATCGTCATCTTCATCGTCAACTTCCTCCTGTGGCAATATATCAATGTCTTCCTCGCCTACGGTTAAATTTGCATCAAATTTTCTAACAACACAAACATCATCAGCTCCAGCTACGGCAACAGCTGCATCAGTTACAGTCTCAACAATGCAACAAACTCCTTTAACACCCAGTAATGTTGTTATGGGCACAACAATAAAGGCAGCACCCACTTTAGATTTTCTGGTTGATTTAAATAATAATCATTTACATGTTGCAGCACCAAAACCCATGATTGTTACTGAAAACAAACAACTGCAACAACAGCAACTACTTAAGCAACAGTTCAATGATCTGGTACAAAAGCATCAACCTCCACATCAACAGCTAACAACGACATCGATGCCAACTCCGACACCGACACACCAACATGATCAACAATTTTTCAATAATTGTTTCGATTTGATGTGGCAACAACATGAAAGACAATTGGGAAACAACAACATCATCACCACCACTACATCTACTTCTACTGCCACCACCTCCACCAACAACAACAATAGCAATCATATTGATCAATTAACTTCATCTGCTTTAACATCAAATAATGTTGCAATGTCATCGTTTTTAGATTCAGTGGGATCTCTTAAGACTGTTTTTTCCACGATATCTTAAGATGTTTGTAAAGCGAGAGAAAAGCAAAAAATTAATTGAAGGAATTTTTGTAATCGAAATGAAAAGATTTTAATTAAATAGTGTGATCATTTAAAAAAATACTACTGGGTATTAACAATTTAACTGGACTGTAATAAAAAATATAAAGTAAAAAATAAGAAAAAGTAGAAACCTTTAAAAAATCGTTATAAATTATGGGTAAAATTATCAACTTCTGTAAATACTAATGAACATCTTGATAATTATTTAATATCAAATCTTTACTGGAGTTGGAAAAATTTTAATTTTGTGTTGATATGTTTTCAAAATTTTCCTATTTTATCATCATGTGTTGAGACAATTACAGAATATAATTCAATTTTGGGTAGAAATAGATAAAAGTAACGATGATTTGTTGAAACATATCAGAATTGCGGTAAAACACTTCATATTTTTTCATTAAATACAGAACACAAAGAAGTCATTATTAACTTGGAAACATGATAATCTCCACAGAATCTAAAAACCAAAATTCGCATTCAATAAAATATATACAAAACAAATTAAAGCTAAATAATAAACAGCTGATTAAATTAAAATACCGGTAAAAAATGCATGACATAAATTCAAAACATCAATAATACAAAAGAATAAAAATTTCACACAATTTCAACATCATCATTAGCACGATATCCAGTCATAAATAAAACAATATTGCCAAAAACCAAAAATAGACATAAAGAAAGTGTTTCCTGAAATGTTCGTGAATAAATCAATCAAATCAAATAAGCTTCGTCGTCATCATTACAATAAACCAGTAAAGTAAACCCAACCCTTTTGATAATTTTAATCATCACACAAAAGAAATTATTACGAAATTTTGACCTCAATACAAGTGTTAATGAAAACAAAAAAGAGGTAAAAGACGAAGAAAAAAAAAAAAATATTGCATAATCTTAAACAAAAACTAAAACACAAAAAGCCAACCGAAATTAAAGTTATAATAAAAAAAGATTTAAATATTTTATATGAAATTTCACATAACGACTATGACGACGATATCATCAACACATCGTCATAATTTGATTACAGCTGTTGTTTGTTGTTGTTTGTATGTATGTCTGTATATTTCACAAAAGTTGTTAAGATTTCCTGTTTCCGTTTAATTGATTTTTAAATGACTTGCAACGGTTAAATACAATAAAAACAAACGCTCATAAACACACAAAGTTAAAACGAAAAAAAAAACAAAAGAAAGCACTAACAAAAACCCAAACCTTAGACAACAAAATTTATAACAAAAAGTTAAAAATATATACAAAATTAAATAAAATAAAAACAAAGCTTTGGTTTACAACATTTTTTTCGAACAAATAAAAACGAAAAATGGATTTAAAACAAAATATAAAACAAAAAATCTTAAAAAAAATCAAAAAAATCAAAAAACCCAGCGGGAATATTAAACGCAAGAAATAAACTTTAGAAAAAAATCAGCAAAAAAAACTTTCACTTTCACTCTCCATAAAGTACTTACAAGCAGCCAGACAGCCAGCAACCAGTCAGCCATCCGTTGAGCAACCAAAAAAAGGCTTACTTTTTTTAAACGAACCAAAAGACAGATGGAAAAAACTGGACGGACCAAGAGTCTGTCCGTCATCCAGTCGGCCAGCCAGCGAGCAGCAGCCAGACTTGGTTAACCATTTACATCTTTCTTTTTTTTTTGGTTTTCTGACCAAAGCAACCAAACAATTTACCAACCAAACAGTTCGCCTCAACCAGCCAGCTTGAAAAACCGTCGAACCCCTGTTCCAAACAAACCATGCATGCACGTTTTCATAATGTGTGTTGTTTGTGTTTCATTTTGATCAACATCTACTTACCATGTGTATGCAAATTATTTTCATTTTATTTTATTCATTTATTTTACTTTTTTGTAATGTATTCTATATATACTTTAAAGTACTCTGTGGTCTTACACTTTTTTCTTTGCTTTAGAAAAGTGTTTTTTAACTTTTAAGTTTTTTTTTCTCCTTTTTAAAATGTGTTTTTTTCGATTTTTCTTTAAATTAAGAAAAAAAAAAGCTTTTACAAATAATTTTTCCATAACGTGTTTAAGATTAAGTGAAAACAATTATAAAAAGTATTGGTTTAGGGAAAAAGTAATTTCGTTTAGAAATTTTGTTAAGTTTTACTCCTATATTCATAAATTTATTATTGGTCTAAAGCAGGATAACTTTATGAATACGGACAGTTTAACTGTTAGACTAAACATTTTGAAACAAATCAATATTTGTAATCTTTTCCTCAAGAAAAATCTTAAGCATAAAAAAACTCGACAGAATAAGGGTTTTCAAATTAAAGGGGTGTAGAAATAAAGGCAATCTTTATATTCGAATTGTATAAGAAACAACTTTACTTCTAAAGATATTTTTATATTTACATATTTATTATAATGGAACTAGAAGAAGAAGAACAAAGTTTGAAACAAATAGAGAAGTTTGCTGGAAAGGTTATTAATGGTATGGAGATTGCTGTCTTTGTTTCTGTGCCCCTCATATATACATGCAGCAATCAATAACCTAAGCATACAACTTTAAAAACCTTTAATCTCGATCGAAAAATATTCCAGTAATTTTTCGGCTTCAATATAAATATTTTATATCAAAGACTGGGTCTTTCCATTACAAATGAATACAAATAGGGTATCAAGTTCGAAAAAGTTATTAAATTTTTGACTGCAGATTGTTTACAAACTTTAAGAACCAAATATATTTAGACCAAAGGATTTTTATAAAATTGTCTGAGGTACTTGTGCTGTAGTATTCTTTTGTGGGTCTACGAAGAAGCCATTATATGACAATTTTTTTTTCTCGAAATTCGGACAATACCTTTTTAAAAACCATGTTCAAGAGTAATTCAGAAAAAGTGTTTAAAAGGTGCTCCGAATTTTAGATTGCGATATACTTTTTGAAAATGATTGTATCCCAGGATAATAAAAGCACATTTCACTACTTACTCATTGGAATTTAATTCATTATTTTAACCACTTTCACTTACAAAGAAGGACTTCAATAAGTCATTACAAAAAACCCCTTAAACAGTTATTTTGTTTATACAAAAACTTACACACAATGACAAAAGCCTAAAATTAAGTACATACTTATTATAAGTCATTACAAGACTACTTAAAAGTAATGCAGAAGGAAGTAGTAGTCATTCAAATGTAAGTTGTTGTGTAAGTACAAGTCATTATATAGATTTCGCTGGGATATTAAACAAATTATGACTTTTATTATGACAAATTATGCTTAAAAATAAAGCTTGTTGCGTATATTGTATACTTAGGATTTTTCGTTTAGCATTTTAGTAAATAATAAATACAAAAAAATCCGTGTTCTAATTGTATTGCTTTCAGTAAGCATTACTCATTACTGGCTATACCTAAGACTAAGAAATTACATTTTCCCTTAAACCAATATTTTTTATTAAAAAAAGATTTATTTATTTTCTTTATAATTATTTCTATCATTTAATTTTTTTTTTTATTATTTATATCTAAAACTATAATAGTAAGTAAGTAATAGTACATAAATATTAAGTTAAAAAAAAGTGTTTGTTAATTGTGCATAAAACTTACTACAAGTAATAGACTTTAGTTATTTATTATATTTTTAATTCATAGCATGATAATTAGCATCTATGTACCATAATCATGATTGTAATGATGATGATTATTAACTTTATCATTATGCAGCATATTTAAGCAAGTAATTAGTGTAGATTAAAGTGAAATTAAATGTTATTATTATTTTAAAAAGAGAAAAAAAGTCACTTTTATGAGAAGGGGATCATCATCATATCATTTTATTTTTCTTTATTGTTTTTTGTTGTTGCTAGGTGTTTTAGAGAAGGGTCTATCTATGTGTTATTATTAGTTTTCTTTTCTTTAGTTTTTTTATATATATATTATTATAATTATTGTTTTAATATAAGGTTAAAAAGGTTTTAATTAACAAGAATTAAATATAAGCTGAGGGTGAAATTTCTTAAAGAGGTTATTTGGGAAAACAAAAATTTTTCTTTAGAGAAATTAAACAGCAAATATTAGTTATTCAAAATTTAAAAATATAACCAATTAAGTGGTAATTGATCTGTAATGTTTCTGTAGAACTAGTTCTATAAATGAGAAATTCCAAACAAACTACATCCAACATTGGTATTCTGTATGCGTTGCAGCATGAGATTGAGATTTCTCTTTTAGAATTCAGAAAAGTTAAATTAAAATTTAGAATTATCATTTGCAATTCAGAAAATATTAACTGAAATTAAGATTTTTGATTTCAAATTTAAAAAAAGAATAGTAAAACTAAGATTTTTCATTTGAAATTCAGAATTTCAATTGATTTTTTCTGTATTCAAAATGAAAGTTACCAATTGCTTATGAAATTCTCATTATTTATAAAAAAAAAATCACTTTCCCTAGCCCAAACAAATAATGATAAATTTTAAGATTATTGCGTTAATTATTTATTATTATAATTATAATTATTATTTGTGTGAATACTTGAGTTACCAACCTTGTTATAGTTTTGCAAACTTATAAAGTTTAAAAGATTTCGCTCTATTGTTGTTATTTTAAACATATTTCGGTAGATATAGTATATTTTTCTATTTAATTAAAGATTTCTTGCGAAAACAAAACAATACAAATAAAAATAATAGAAAAAAATTTAAACAGAAGTTGAAATGTCACAGATTTTTCAACATTATTCGCATTTTTTGTTTTTATCTGCAAAGAAATCCATTAGAAACAACAATGGTGTACAAGAGTTCTCCTTTTAAATGTACATTTTTTTTTATTTTATTTTATTTATTTCAAATTATTTGCAACTATGTACATGGTGGCATGCAACTTGAATTTTCACACGATCACATTTTATTGTATACATATACGAAGAGTATAAAATACTACATAGATTCATACAGATATTTTTTGTATCTTTTTTTTTTATTTGTTAAGAAATATCTTGGTTTACAATTATTTATGGCTTAAAGCAGCTAAACAAAAGTGAGAGATAGAAATAAATAATAAGAAAAAGTTTCATTTCATTTATTTTTTGGGGTATTTTGTTTTAATTATCTTTTTATACAATTTTATGCACAATTAACAAGCCTTTCATTTTCTATACATTTTTCTTTTATTTATTTTTATTAATTTTTAATAAATTTTGGGTTTTAAATTTAAAATACCACAAGGAAATCAAAGTGTATTTTTATTAAAATTATATTTCCGTTTTCTAATTCACATTACATTTACCGAATAAAATAACAAAAATAAGTATTGTACAAATTTTTAATGTTTACTTAGGCGTGTTTTTATTTTAAATTATTATCATTGTTTGTGTCTATTTTTTATTATTTTTATCTATAAATTTTTATATTATACAAACTATTATTTATTTAAAAAAACGAAAAACTTTTTTTTGTACATTGCGACAAAAACAAATTATTAAAAATAATAAAAAAATACAAATCAATAACTTTTATTGTTATAAAAAAAACTCGTTGTTGTTTTTATTTCTACATACATATTTGTTTATTTAAACGGGTGTTAAAATCTTGTGTTTTTTTAACCTTAATCATTTTGTTAGATTTTTGTTAATTACTTCAGTTACAGATGTTTATTTTAAGTTTGTCATGAGGTTTGTTCCTCCAAATACAACTTTCACAATTGGGAAGTTAACACAGGCCGACAAATTTACCTACATACCTTTCTAAAGGATTGAGCCTCGAATCCGAATATGGCCTCAGAATCTCTATCACTTCTGGTATTTGAGAAGACAACTTTATTTATAAAATGTTGTATGTCATCTGAAAGTCAATGGCTTCTTTCCTCTTCGAGAAATCTTTACCTTGCTTGATATAAAAATAAATTTACAAAAACTGTATTTTTTCGTACATTTCGCTTTTATTTTACAAAAAACTTATGCATTTAAAATCTGTTGTAGTTGCCGAGATATCATCCGTTGAAGTTGACGGACAGACATCGTTAGGTTGAATCAGAAAGTGATTTTGAGTCGATTTGAACATCGTCAGATAGGTGTGGATCCTATATTTTTGTTCGCTAAAAATTATATTTACAAAGCATAATACCATCCGCAATATAATAGTTTAGGTTATAAAAACCATGAATATACCAAAACCATGAGTTTTCAAGCTTTTGATGAAGATATCTCGAAGAAGAAAGAACATATGTCAGATGTTAAGATCAGAAGATATGTCAGATGTTATTTTAAAGTTAATAGAACGGACATTCAGATGGCATACAATATTTTACAAAAATGGGGTTTTTTAAATTTCAGAACACGGGTTCAGCGCTGGTCAATCCTTTAGAAAAGTCTAACCTGCCAAAATAAGGGATGGAAAAAAATGTATAATAATATATTTTTTTTTAATTTGGGGTGTTATTTGCATCTCTGCTTCCAAGGACTATTTTTTCGTTCTTTGTTTGATACTTTTTGAGTTTTCTGTAATATTGAACCTAGAAACATGAAATTAAGCACGTAGATCCCTAAGTAGATGAGATCCTATAAGAGGGAACCTTTTGGCAGTTTTTCGTTCTTCAAATGCTTTTTTACTTTTCTATAATAACACAAAATAAAAATAACATTAAAAATTCAGGGCCGATCTTTAGGTGAGCGATTAGCGATTAAATTAAAATTAATCCTCGAAAGTTGTTTTTGAGTACTCAGTTAGTTAATTTTGTTTGCTAGTTTAAGCGCCCAATGGAGTTGGCTTAAACTTGATCAAGAAATTTGAAAGTGTAAACAGCTTATGCAAAAAAAAATAATAAAAATTTTATAAAATTAGTTAATGTTTATTTTTATAAAATTTGTTTTATTTATTGATTAGTACAAATTATGGAGACTTTAAAATATATTTTTTTGTTTTAAATTGAAGTTTGCATTAATTTTCATATTACATTTACAATTGTCTTCTTCTTTTTTATAAAACATGCATTGTTTTGATTGCAAACAGTTACGTTTTCTGTTATTTTGTATGGGAACACTAGGAAGATTTATTTGTACCCAAAAACATCAAAGGGGATTAACATTGGATTACATTTATTTTTAGATTAACTAATCTGATTATTAATTGGCATTTACTTGCCAACTCAAAAACTTGTTCTCAGAGGGAAAAGGGAACTCTTTTCATTCAATTGATACCTTTTATTGCTTTTCTGAATTATTGAATCAGAAGGAGTCAATTTTTTTGGTATATTTTGTTCTTCAACTGGTACTTTTTTTAATATTAAACCTAGAAACATAGAATTAAACACCCAGCGTCCTAATTGAATGAAAATCTATAAAAGGGTACTTTCTGGTACTTTTTGTTTTCCCTGGGCACTGCCGTATATAGAACTCTTATTTGTTTTTCTTTCAGGAGTATATCGGAACTTTTTTAATATTTAGGCCGGGACTTAAAGTTCTACTTAATTATAACAAAATTTTTTGAGAGTGAACTAAAGACCGTAATACTTACAAGCGACTCAAATTTAAAACATTTTTTCTCCAAATTTTGTATTCAGCTTTTATGTTCCAAAAAATATAAAGAACAAAAAGATCCCAATGGAATACACAAGTATATTTTTAAAAAGACATGTACAGTGTCTCTCATAATTATTCGAATTTGGGTAAACTGTAAAAAGAAACCAAATTTAATAATATATTTTGTGTACAAAATAAATAAATTAATTTGTTATATTGTCTAGATAGTCCTTATGTTTGATATCACTCTTTTTAAAACTTGAAAAATTTGCATTGACTTAAATTAATTGTGGATTTTTTAAAAAAAGTCCATGAAATTGCTTCACAAAAGTATACGAATTTTTCCTGTATTTCATATTTGATCATATTATACGCAACACAAATTTTAGAATCGAATGGTTTTTATGCGTAATATTGTTTTAAGGGGTTACTATCCACGGAAAGGATATATTTTTGTCCCATTTGGTCCACAATTTTGGGAAATTTGTTCCCTCTTTTCATGTAATATCATTGAAATGGCGATTTTTGGCCATAATTGTAAATTTTTATCCTTTTTTCCAGAGATAAAACAAAAATTTGATATTGGGACTTAAAAGACCCCTTGGGGTATCTAAAAATAATATTTTTTGTTACAAGAATCTGTATTTAAACGTTCCAAGATAAATTATTCGGATCATTCTTCTGTCGCTAATTCAATATATTGGAACTTAAGTCCATTTTTATAATACTAGGATCAACTATTTTCAGGGAAAGTTTTCTGGTATATATTCTTTTAGATATCAGCTTTTATACATTTTAAGTTTTCAATGTGTTGTGGAAGTGTACAACTCCAAAACATGCCTCGAAGAAACACCATTCAAAATAGTAAAATCATTATTTTTATATACCAATGGCCTCCATGCTGCATGGCACGATATCATTATGATCTAACTCAAAAATGTTGATATGTGTTTAAATATTATTTACTATGATCAAATTAAAATCAAAATTTAGGACTTACAGTGTTATTGTAACGGGCAACATAAGCGTGAAAGTTACGAGTAGTAAAAACTGAAATGTACTATATAGGATGACGTTTTGTTAAGGCATGTTTTGGGGTTGTATACCGCTATAATATATTGAAAATTTTAAATATATTAGTGCCAATATATACATGAATATACACTAGACAACTTTGTCGGAAAATATCGTACCTAGAGGCACGAAAAGGGACTTATGATCCAGATAATTCAATTAGAAAATGAAAAACAATACCAAAAATACATCTAGAAACGTTTAAGTACAGATCCTTATAACAAAAAATATTATTTTTAGATACCCTATGGTTTCTATTAAATTCCAATATTAAAATTTGGTTTTATCTCTGGAAAAAGGGTGAAAACAGTACAAATATAGCCAAAAATCGCCATTTTAATGATATTACATGAAAAGAGGGTACAAATCCCCCAAAATTGTGGACCAACTGGGCCAAAAATATATCCATGCAGTTGATAGTTACCCCTTAAAACAATATTAAGCATAAAACCATGCGATTCTAGAATTTGTGTATCGTATAATATGATCAAATATGAAATACAGGAAAAATTCGCATACTTTTGTGAAGTAGTTTCATGGACTTTTTTTAAAACAAGCACAACTTATTTAAGTAAATGTAAAGTTTTCAAGTTTTAAGGGGCGTGAGTGATATCAAAACTAAGGACTATCTAGACAATATAACAAATATATTTATTTATTTTCCACACAAAATATATTATTAAATTTGGTTTGTTTTCATAGTTTACCTAAATTCGAATACTTATGAGAGACACTGTACATCTTTTATCAATATCTGATCAAATGTTATCCCTCCTAATGGTTAAAAATCTTTGCGTTACATTACATAACAAATCACAACTAAAACTATCTTTGTAAAACCGTTCGTTAAAGCCTAAATAATTTGATTTTGTGTATTTCTTTTAAAC